AGCAGGAGGATCATGGTTCAAGGTCAGCCAGGGCAAATAATTTGAAATCCTGTCTTGAAAGTACTCAACACAAAGAAGGACTGGTGGAGTGGCTCAAGCCACTGAGTTCAAGCTCTACTACTACCAAAAAAAGAGGAAGAATGAACTATTCCAAGATTTAAGTAAACTTTTTATTCTGGAATATGAATTACATCGTATGTTATTCTTTAGTGACATTGTAATGAGCTTTTGGTTTTTGAAAGAAAGGCTGAAATTGTGCACCTGCCTATCTTTTCCTCAGATACTACTTGGGAGCATAAAGCATGTCTTTCTCAACTATTGCTCTGGAACATACTGCCCTGGGATGATTGTGTAAATGTTTTTTGAAAAAAAATAAATAAATGAAATACTGCTTCATTTGAAAAGTTGCCCTAGTCATCCATAGTCCTCAAAACACAGGATTTCATTATGTTTTATATGTAAACATTATCGTCTGGAACACTTACTTTGGATTTGGCTAGATTCTCTAGGGGGAAGCATATTCCTATTGCTTCAACACAAATATAACCAACCACTAAAGAAATAAAAATCCTGCCAGTAAAACAAAAACCTTAAATGTTAAGCTATGTATGAGTAAAGTGAATTTACTAGTAAAAGTATGCATGGAAGTTCTCAACTGGTTACCCTAGAGCTATGGGTAGGAATAATATATTGTACATGCTTATAATTTTTATGATTAGATTTTGCTTAGAAAGTGACATTAGATAGTTTAATTTACTCTTTCCGATTTAATAGTATTTTAGAGCACTCAACTCAGCAGGGGTGTTTTTCTATCTTTGGAGGTGGAAAATGTTGGAATCTTGACAGTCTAGTCCCCAAGAATATCCTGGTTCAGAAGGAGTAGGTCTTACGGGTTTTACCTGTACTCTGTCTTAAATTGCTATGCTAATCAGAGAAGACCATGTTGAAAAGAAACATGTGTGATGAATGGCTGTTGGGCCCAGTTCCCAGGACTTCTTGGTCATGTGTAGCATGATGTCTCCTGTACCTTTCTGTTCAGGGCTACTGTGCTTATAATGCCACTGTGCCAAACATGGAAGGAATTGCAGCTCCTTTTGTTTCTTTTTTGTATAGGTGTTGACTTAGTCATTGATTTCTAGGCAAGTCTGAATCCTTTGGAAGGCAGTACTGTTACCTTGTTTACATTCTCCTGGAACCCTTGTGTGTCCAGTGAGTGATGGAGCCAGCTGAGAAGCCTGTTACTGAGGTTCTGCATTGTGTGCAACTGCAGCACCATCTTGCAGTGATCTTTCCCAATGTTTTCTCAAGTTGCTTTTCCTTACATTTCATTTTAGGACTTTTACATAGAATTGGAAGCTCAGATTTAGAAGACTAGAGCCTGCTGATATAACAGTGGCAACTTTTGGGTTTGGCCAAGCTGTTTGGATTTTTAAACAATGGGAATTTATTTTTTAAAGCATGCTTCAAGAAGTGAACCTTTACTTCAGCTGCAAAGAGAGTTCCTAGGTAGAAGCATAGTCCTTTCTGACTATTCATTCTTTTCTCTCCTTACTCTAATCTTATTCCACCTCAGACCAGAAGGCAAACAAATAATGATTCCTATCATTTTGGAAAGTATTTGGAAACTTGAAAATATTGACAGTTAAATTACTGATTGATAACTCAGTAGTACTCTTGTTTTAGAGCACATTGTAATTAGGATTGTATAGTTAGATTTTGTGAGAGTCTGAAATACAGAAAGTGACCCTCTAAGCTTGCTGGTAATGAACATTTCTTTAAAGATTAGTAATCACTCATTACCTCATCCATTGGTTACTTTACCTGTTGGTTATTGTACATAGAGTTGTTTGAACTGTCTGTCCTCAAAGCACTTGGAGCATAAAATTCATGCGTTTAGTGATGTAGCCCCTTCGTAAGAATCTGCCAATCCCCAGATATGTTTGTGAAATGTGTGGATTAGCAGGTTGTTCCATGAAGATAATGTAAGAAAAGAAGGAAATAATCAGAAACTTGAAGGATCCATCACATTGCTTTAATAGTAAAACAGCAAGTTTCATACTATAGATCATTTGAGTCCTTTAAATACTTACTCATAGTCTCAATTTGTAACTCTTATGATAGGAAGGTTATTACACACCAATAATACCTATACCAAATTAATTATTTTGATTTTGATTTTTGGAGGTGGTGCTGAAGGGTTGAACTAAGGCCTTGTACTTGCTAGATAGGCAGTTGCCACTTGAGCCACTCTGCCAGCTCTGCACCCAATTTAGAAACTCTGGTTCTTTGTAGCTACCTATGTGATTATTTATTATTTATTTATTTTGTGGTGCTGGGGTTTCAACTCAGGGCCTATACCTTGAGCCATTCTACCAGCCCCACCCCCTTTTTTTTGTGAAGGGTTTTTTCAAGATAGGGTTTCTCAAACTATTTGCCCAGGTTGGCTTTGAACCGTGATCCTCCTGATCTCTGCTTCCTGAGTAGCTAGGATTACAGGTATGAGCCACTGGCGCCTGGCACTACCTGTATGATCTTGAGCAGATCATTTGGCCTGTCAGTTTCTTTACCCTTAACAGAAATTACAACAGTAATAGCATTATGTCCACCTTGTAGTTTTCCAAGTGATTTGCTCCAATGAAATAAAGAAATTGAGAAAGTTGGTAAGTAACTAATCTAGCTTTACATTGCTAGAACTGAGACCCCTCTATGTCCCCTTTCCCAGGTCTACTGCACTCCGCGCTCATGTCCCATGCCAAACAGGTGAGAGGATTGAACTGGTCCCTCTAGAAGTCTATAATTCGAGGATTTTTTGTTTTGTATTTTTATAGCAGTTAAGGTATAGCTTACTATTACCTATTTTATTTCTCAAAATACATTTTAGGGTTACTACTTTAAGTATAAAGATAGCCTCCTTGCTAGGCTAGGAGTTTAGCTCAGTGGTAGAGTGCATGCCTGGGGCCCTGAGTTCAATCCCTAGCACTAAAATTAATCAGTCAATCAATCAGTTCTGTTCCAAAGCATCTTTTAAAGTCAACCGTATAGAATTCCCATTATTGTGATAAGATTTTGAATTAAGCCAGGCCTGGTGGCGCATCACAGCACTAAGGAGACTGAAGCAGAATAGTGAGTTCAAGGCCACCTGAGCCACATAACCAGATCCTGTCTCAAGACAAACAAATAGACAAAAAAGGTTCTGGGTTACTTGGGCTCTTGAGAGTTTTTACTTTTTTGGTAATATTGTAGACTACAAGTGTATACTACAAAAACCATTGCAGAAATGTATTTAGGATTAATTTTCACATTTCCTAGGTTATGTCCTAACTTGTTTTAAGATAGAATTTTTCTTATTCACCACCGATGTTTACTTCAAGCTTTTTAAGGTAAAAGGCATTTAAGAATTTACTTTTAACTTTGTGATAAAGAAAAACTGTTAAAAATGTACTCTAAACTGGGTGCCAGTGGCTTGCATCTGTAATCCTAGGTACTCAGGAGGCAGACATCAGGAGGATCAAGGTTTGAAATGAGCCTGGGCAAATAATTCAAGAGATCTTTTCTCGAAAAAATCCATCAAAGAAAAGGGCTGGTGGAGTGGCTCAAGGTGTAGGTCCTAGTTCAAGCCCCAGTACTGCAAAATAAATGTATTCTAGTATGTGTTCTTAGGTTTTATACCTTTTTTTAAGGTTATAATATTTTTTCAAATAAAATCTCTTTGAAGAGAATTTCAGCTTTTTCTTAAATACCTTACTGTTAGCAATCTTAGACCAACAACCTTTAAAAAACAAAACAACTCTTTTTAGAACTTAGTAAGATTTGCGTCTCAGTTACATAATATGCAAAGGCTTGGGCTCAAATATTTTGCTCCTCAAAAACATTTCAATTTAAGGGTTGAACTTGCTGATTTGTCTTAAAAGTTACATTTACTTTTTAATACTTTCCTGGTTGAAAATGGTTAAGCAGATTAGCACCTGACTCAAGCTTTAAACTGAAACAGAGCTCTTCAGCAGAAAGTCCACCGATGTTGGCCACCCACATATGAGTTAGTTCCTGAGGGAAAATTTGGGACTTTAATTGCTGGAACCCAGTTTGGGATTTACCAGTATAAACTGCAGATTCAGGCAAGTCTGTTCTTTATTCCTATGTTCTTGTTTTACGTAGATTTTGTTTCTGGCATCTGAAATTCTACGTCTCTGTGTCTCTCTGGAAAGAACTTTCTCTGAATTGTGAATTTCTGTTGGTGTGTTTCAGTAGACCATCTTTCTTAAGAACTTGTCTAAGACAGGTTAAATCATCCTTAGTATTTTTTTGAAGGCAGGTTACACTTTAGATCTAAGGAGCAGCTTTGGCTCTTTTGTCTCCATTTCAGTGAAGCATCTCACCCTGTGTGTGGTCAGTTTCTGATCCCTTTCACCAGTGCTGCTGCCCACCATTAAGTCTCTGTCACAGGGCATTTAAAATGTTGCAATGAAATGCATGTTGAGAATCCTTGGATCTCAAATGTGCAGAAACCTCATCTTTTTAAAAGTCAGCTCCTGAGTTAAGGAACTGACAATCATGGCACTGTCAGTCTCGATTAATATTTAGTAGGTAAGAGATTGTTATATTACTATGTCATTCCTTATGTGTGTATAGATTTAAATACTTGTTGAAATTCATTTGTTTGTTTTATTGGGGCTGTGTATTTCTGCAATTGTACTGAATTAAATTTGTTCTTTAATTATTTTGAGCTGTATCAATAGTTTGAAATTCAGGACTATCCCCTGTGTACTATGCATCAAGATGAACTTTCAATGCATTGTTCAGTTACACAGCTCCTATTTATAATGAAACTTCATGGCTGGATCCATGTATTTCAGTATTAGTTATTTCATAATGTCCCTTTGGGCGATGAATATGTAGAGGCTAATTTTCCAAATTCATTTGTCTCCTCTGGGCATTTCTTTGGAGTTTGTTCACATTCATGTTTTTGCTTCTGATTTTAAAATAATTTTCCTTTGTTGTAGGATGAGCAGTTCTTAGGTTTTGGCTCAGATGAAGAAGTCAGAGTGCGAAGTCCCACACGGTCTCCTTCAGGTATGGTCAATTAATAATACATAGTGTGCCTTTAAGTTATGTTTATGACGAGATTGTGGTTTCCTTTGCCTTTTCATGTAAAGACTGATCTACAATCCTGAGGATAGGAGATGTTTATGAACTAGAATGCTCTATAGTATGCTTCTGTCAGGCCACGTTTGGTTTATTCTTTAGTATGTTTCTCTAGGAACTACTTGGGCATTCGAGGTAGGTTTCCACAGAATGATTGGGAAACCTGGTAAGCTTGAAGATGAGACTGTCCTTGGGTTTATACATTCTATATTATATGGTAGTATTTATGCCTTTGGGAATAATATGGCTTTTATATTTTTACAGATGAAATTTGGTCTACTGTTGTCAAAGAGCTAGAAACAAAACATTGGCACTATATGAAAGTATTGGTATAACATTTTACCTGACTCTTGAAATGCTGTATTAAAATAAAGAAAATAAAAATTATGTGGGGTGTTTCCATTTATTAGCAATATTTGTCATTGTTCTTAGCAATGAAATGTAGAACATCTTAAAATTCTAGACTTACAATCAGTTTCCTAAGAGAAGATCTTCAATTTAATAGCTTACTTAGTTCAGTTCTATGTAGGAAACGGCTGAAAACTTTTTGATGGAAAACACATTACCCATTTTGCTGACATTCTAGATTCTTGTATGGTTTTGCTTGATTTTGTGTGGATATATAGTCTACTTAAAAATGTTCTTGTTAGCTATTTTTGCTCCTTGACATTGACTTACTTTGTGATGTTTGCTGGTATTTGGGTCTCACTAGTGTGTAGTAATCTGGTTCAAGCACTCAAATCGACAATTTTTGTTTCCCAAATGGTGATGATATTGCCATTCTGGTTGGGAGAAGTTAGCCAGCAGTGTCTGAGTATCTGTGCTATTTAGACAATAGCAATAGTCTGTTTTGAGATGTAATGAAATCTTAAAACTTCATATAGGAAAGTGATTTTAGGGATCTTCAGATTTAACCCTTCATTCACAGATGACTAAATGAGGCTAAGAAAATACATAATGAGCACTTATACATAACCAATGTGTGAGTTCTTTGATATGTTGTGAATTGAGAAAGTTAGCAGTAGACCTGAGACCCTCATCTGTTCTGCTTTTTCTACTTGTCTGCCAAAAGCTTTTTTTAAATAGTAGGATAGAAGAGGTTTTCAGAATTGATAAAGCCCTCTGGGTGGCCCCATTCAAGTTCACCACAATGATAAGGAGTCTTACAATGTACTTCTAGGCAACAGGTGCTTGTTAATTCGCTCTTTTATGAGGGGTTCCTCTTAAGTTTTTTCTTGGCTGTCAGTTTACTTTGTTCTTTTTTTTTTTAAATCTGGATATACTTCATTATTTAGGAAACAAAACGTAATTTCTTTGCTGTCTCCTACTCTATTAGCTTTGTTGTAATTAGTATATATTAAGAATGAATTTGTAAATCCTTAATCTATTAAGGGAAGTCTCATAAGTTAATTGGTGAGGAATGCATATATGTTTAGAAAACTCAACAATAAGACCTTTGTTGATTTCTGTTCTGTTAGAAAGTGACTCCATAGTAAAAATGTTCATAATGGCTGCAGTCTCTTTTGGTGCCTGTTAAGAGAGGCTGTAGTATCAGAAGAATGTTGTCCTATGAAACACTGAAAAGTCAAGAGAGAAGAGAAGATATGATAGCATAGGCAACTCTTAATGCACTTTAAACATACGAGTTTATGTAAGTATTTGAGACAGTCTTGTTTTCTTAAATTTCTTGATAAGTAGCAAGTTGAGCTGCTTTATAATGTGGCAAATTTTAGAATAGTGAAAATCTGACTTAATAAATTGCTGATTTGCTGTTGGCATCAGTTAAGATGAAATCTTGTAACTTGGGACTAACTAGTTCAAAAACCCTTAGATAGGACAATAGATTAATGAACACATTATTACATCCTTCACTGATTACTTCACATGCCAGTGAGTTCAGTGATCATACTTGGATGGCTCATGAGTGAATGTTTTTCTGTCCAACAGAAATTCCTCAGTTTACTTTGGTAAAACAGATTGAAAATACAGGATGCTGAACTGCCCAGGAGCAATTCCTATGAAAGTTGGTGGTGGTGTTCGTATCTATTCAAAGCCATTAGTTGGGATGACTTATTGTTAGCATGCTCTTAAATGTTACTCTTGGCAGCTAGGATAAGGTAGTACAGATTAAAACAACAATATTTTTGAATTCAGGAGAAAAAAAAAAACGCTCTCATTCATCTAAAGTTTTAGGAACATCAGTTTTTTAGGTTCCTTGTTCCGTTGAAAACCTTTTATTATTATCTTGGTTTAGTATCAAGAAGTAATTAAATGTTCTTTCAGGTAGAATGTTATTTACTTGATTTCTTTGAGGCAAATTTTTGATGAAAACAAACTAAGCACAATTAAGATGTTGTACTGACTCAATAGAGCCAAGTTGAGTTCCATACAAAATGGCCTGTGCTAAATTATATTCAGCTTAGGTAAGAACTGAACCACACAGCTAAATATATGCTCTTCATTGTTTAATTTCTATACACAGTTAAAACTAGTCCTCGAAAACCTCGTGGGAGACCTAGAAGTGGCTCTGACCGAAATTCAGCTCTCCTCTCAGACCCATCTGTGTTTTCCCCTCTTAATAAATCAGAGACCAAATCTGGAGATAAGATCAAGAAGAAAGATTCTAAAAGTATAGAAAAGAAGAGAGGAAGACCTCCCACCTTCCCTGGAGTAAAAATCAAAATCACACATGGAAAGGACATTTCAGAGTTACCAAAGGGAAACAAAGAAGATAGCCTGAAAAAAATTAAACGGACACCTTCTGCTATGTTTCAGCAAGCCACGAAAATTAAAAAATTAAGAGCAGGTAAACTGTCTCCTCTCAAGTCTAAGTTTAAGACAGGGAAACTTCAAATAGGAAGGAAGGGGGTACAGATTGTACGACGGCGAGGAAGGCCTCCATCAACAGAACGGATAAAGACCCCATCAGGTCTCCTCATTAATTCTGAACTGGAAAAGCCCCAGAAGGTCCGAAAAGACAAGGAAGGAACACCTCCACTCCCGAAAGAAGATAAGACAGTTGTCAGACAAAGCCCTCGAAGGATTAAGCCAGTCAGGATTATTCCTTCTTCTAAAAGGACAGATGCAACAATTGCTAAGCAACTCTTGCAGAGGGCAAAAAAAGGGGCTCAAAAGAAAATTGAAAAAGAAGCAGCTCAGTTGCAAGGAAGAAAGGTGAAGACACAGGTCAAAAACATCCGACAGTTCATCATGCCTGTTGTCAGTGCTATCTCTTCACGGATCATTAAGACGCCTCGGCGGTTTATAGAGGATGAAGATTATGACCCTCCAATTAAAATTGCCCGGCTAGAATCTACACCAAACAGTAGATTCAGTGCCACATCCTGTGGATCTTCTGAAAAATCAAGTGCAGCTTCTCAGCACTCCTCTCAAATGTCTTCAGACTCTTCCCGATCTAGTAGCCCCAGTATTGATACCACCACAGATTCTCAGGCCTCTGAGGAGATTCAGGCACTTCCTGAAGAGCGGAGTGACACCCCTGAAGTTCATACTCCACTGCCTATTTCCCAGTCCCCAGAAAATGACAGTAATGATAGGAGAAGCAGAAGATACTCAGTGTCGGAGAGAAGTTTTGGATCCAGAACAACTAAAAAATTATCAACCCTCCAAAGTGCCCCTCAGCAGCAGACCTCCTCCTCTCCACCTCCACCTCTGCTTACTCCCCCGCCTCCATTGCAGCCAGCCTCCAGTATCTCTGACCACACACCTTGGCTTATGCCTCCAACAATTCCCTTAGCATCACCGTTTTTGCCTGCCTCTGCTGCTCCCATGCAAGGGAAGCGAAAATCTATTTTGCGAGAGCCAACGTTTAGGTGGACTTCTTTAAAGCATTCTAGGTCAGAGCCACAATACTTTTCCTCAGCAAAGTATGCCAAAGAAGGTCTGATTCGCAAACCAATATTTGATAATTTCCGACCCCCTCCACTAACTCCTGAGGATGTTGGCTTTGCGTCTGGTTTTTCTGCGTCTGGTACTGCTGCTTCAGCCCGGTTGTTTTCACCACTCCATTCTGGAACAAGGTTTGATATGCACAAAAGGAGCCCTCTTCTGAGAGCTCCAAGATTTACTCCAAGTGAGGCACACTCTAGAATATTTGAGTCTGTAACCTTGCCTAGTAATCGAACTTCTGCTGGAACGTCATCTTCTGGAGTATCTAATAGAAAAAGGAAAAGAAAAGTGTTCAGTCCCATCCGATCTGAACCAAGATCTCCTTCTCACTCCATGAGGACAAGAAGTGGAAGGCTTAGTACTTCTGAGCTGTCACCTCTCACTCCCCCGTCTTCTGTCTCTTCCTCATTAAGCATTTCTGTTAGTCCTCTTGCCACTAGTGCCTTAAACCCAACTTTTACTTTTCCTTCTCATTCCCTAACTCAGTCTGGGGAATCTACAGAGAAAAATCAGAGACCAAGGAAGCAAACTAGTGCTCCAACAGAGCCATTTTCATCAAGTAGTCCTACTCCTCTCTTCCCTTGGTTCACCCCAGGCTCTCAGACTGAGAGGGGGAGAAATAAAGACAAGGCCCCCGAGGAGCTGTCCAAAGATCGAGATGCTGACAAGAGCATGGAGAAGGAGAAGAGTAGAGAGAGAGACCGGGAGCGAGAAAAGGAGAATAAGCGGGAGTCAAGGAAAGAGAAAAGGAAAAAGGGATCAGAAATTCAGAGTAGTTCTGCTTTGTATCCTATGGGTCGGGTTTCCAAAGAGAAGGTTGTTGGTGAAGATGTTGCCACTTCATCTTCTGCCAAAAAAGCAACAGGGCGGAAGAAGTCTTCATCACTTGATTCTGGGACTGATATTCCTTCTGTGACTCTTGGGGATACAACAGCTGTCAAAACCAAAATACTTATAAAGAAAGGGAGAGGAAATCTGGAAAAAAACAACTTGGACCTCGGCCCAACTGCCCCATCCCTGGAGAAGGAGAAAACCCTCTGCCTTTCCACTCCTTCATCTAGCACTGTTAAACATTCCACTTCCTCCATAGGCTCCATGTTGGCTCAGGCAGACAAGCTTCCAATGACTGACAAGAGGGTTGCCAGCCTCCTAAAAAAGGCCAAAGCCCAGCTGTGCAAGATTGAGAAGAGTAAAAGTCTTAAACAAACTGACCAGCCCAAAGCACAGGTACTCTTTTTCACCTTGCCTCTTAAAACTAACAGTTCCCTAAACCCCTTCTGGGCAAGTTTTAATTGGACTAAGTGTTTTAATTACATCCAGTTATGGGAATTAGGAAAAGTATAGTGGAGGGTGGTATGTGCAGTGGCCCTTCGAAGACTGGTAGGGTTTTGATAAGTAGAAAATAAAGGGCATTAACATTCGAAGTAGAGGGCACAGAGTAGATAGAGGTAGAAAAATATAAAACATATTTAAGGAACAATGGGTAGCTGGATTGGTACACATGGGAAAGTGGTGTACTGAAAGATAGGTTGGAACCATACTACAAAGAATGCCGTTTGAACCTCATGGGTTTGGTGTGATGGAATCTGGGACTTAATTTTGAAGGCATGTTTTTATCACCAAGTATTTTTACTATCCCTGATAGAATGGAAAACTGGAAGAGAACATTCTCTTTCTCTGAATAATGAATGATAAAGGGCCAAAAGCAGCCAGGTGCTAGTGGCTCAGGCCTGTTATCCTACTTGGGAGGCAGAGATCAGGAGGCTCATGGTTCAAGGCCAACCCAGGCAAATAGTTTGTGAGACCCTATCTTGAAAATGCCCGACACAAAAAAGGGTTGATGGAGTGGTTCAAGTGGTGGAGCCCCTGCCTAGCAAGCATGAGGCCGAGTTCAAACCCCAGTACCACAAAACAAACAAAAAACACCTTATGTAAAAGGCAATATGTGCTCATGGGATACAAATTAGAAGCACTTAGCCTAAAATTGTGGAACAGAAAAGCTGTGTAGAATTCAGTTAAGGTGATGCTGAGCAATTTTTACTAACAGTAGCAAAAATTTTTTTTAAAGTGAACTAATAGGACTTGGGGGTTTGGCTCAGTAGTGGAATACTTGTCTAGCATACTGGAGAATCTAGGTTTTCTCCCCAGTAATTTAAAAAAAAAAGTGAATTAGGCACTGACCTTTCCTGAGAAAACTTGTTAACTTTAGGTTCATTTAAAAATTGTCATGCATTAGATGCATATTTATGCTAACACACCAAGTTAATTTAAGATGGCCACAAATTTAGGTTTTTTTGTTTATTCAACCTAGGGCTGTGTTTACATTTAATAATTCTGCCAGCTGAGAGTTCTAGCAGCAGTGTTATAGGACTTATTTTTTGACACCATGTTGGATGTTTTAGTTAGCCTCCTAGTGACGGGAGATACTTCTATTTGAAGCCACAGCCTTTTATACTTCCATTTATAGGTTATTTCCCACCATTTCTCTGTTGATTATGGAAATACAAGAATTAGTCTGTGGTTAGAATAGCTCTGTTGATACCAAACTGAACTATTTGGTAATATAGACTGGCAGCTTTGGTAATACAGACTGGCAGTTTCAGTTTTGAGGGCAATTGGAAAGAAATAATATAATTGGGAATAGAGGCTTAGTTTATTTCTGTTTTTTTTTTTGTTGTTGTTGTTGTTTTGTTTGTTTTTGTTTTAGGCACAAAGTCTTACTATGTAGCTCACACTGGCCTCGAAGCCGCTATGATTGCAGGCTAGCCTTGAACTCTTGATTCTCCTGTCTTCATCTCCCAGGTGCTGGGATTATAGGTGTGGTGTGAGCCACCATGCCCAGCTGGTGTCTTTTTTTTATTTTAGTTTTTGTGTTTCTTTTCTTTTCTTTTTCTTTTTTCTTTTTTTTTTTTTTGATAGGCCTTTTTGCTGCTAATTTTAGAAGTAGCTGATTCCTGTATATTGATATGGCTAATCAGCTGGGAATAGCTAGAGCTAGACTTGTATATTTGATGCTAGATCGTAATGAACTGATCAGGTATACCATGGCTTCATTTAATTATATTTGCCCTTGTATGGTTGTCATTGTTCTTGGCCTGCTTCATATTCAGGGTCAAGAAAGTGATTCATCAGAGACCTCTGTGCGAGGACCCCGGATTAAACATGTCTGCAGAAGAGCTGCTGTTGCCCTTGGCCGAAAACGAGCTGTGTTTCCTGATGACATGCCCACCTTGAGTGCCTTACCATGGGAAGAGCGAGAAAAGATTTTGTCTTCCATGGGGAATGATGGTAGGTCAGGGAGGTTAACCTTGGAGTGTGAGCAGATTTTTGATTTATTTTCAAATCATACAGAGGATGCTCACTAGACTTCATAGTTTGTGTCTTTCAAAAAACAGAGACTGAAGGTGTTGCTCAAGTGGTAGAACACCTGCTTTGCACGCACAAAGCCCTGAGTTCAAATTCTAGTCACACCAAAAATAAAATTAAATAAAAACAAATAAATAAATAAATTTTGCCAGGTGCCGGTGGCTCACACTTGTAATCTAAGCTACTTGGGAGACTGAGCTGTGGGAGATCCCAGTTAGAAGCCAGCCCAGGTAAATAGTTTGCCAGATCCCATCTCCAAGGTAACCAGAGCAAAATGGACTGGAGGTGGTGTGGCTCAAGCGGTTGAGTGTCTGCTTAAGTGTAAAACCCTGACTTCAAACTCTAGTCCCGCACAAAAAAGTAAAAATAAAAACAGACAGCTAGAAGGGTTTAATGTATGAGAATTTCATTAGAGAGAATTCTTAAGAAGCAAAAGGGGGAGGTAGCTGGGAAAACTGTGATATAAATCTGACCCCTATGAAAGAGAGAAGAGATAGCTGGGCAGAATCTTCTGAGAGTGCAATATGATATAAGAAAGGTTTGACAAGACTGTTGGGGAGTCTTGCATCTTCCAAGAATAAGCCTACCTTGGCATCTCTGTTACACTAAGTCACTACCTGGTAGTGACCATGAGAAATGTGGCCCCTTTGTACCAGTGGGCTTCAGAGCACAGCAGCTGGCACCTTTGGTCAGTTATGCTCCCTAGAGTTGGGGATCTGTGAGGCACATTCTCACGATTGCTATATACTTACGAAATGCTGGGTTCCTACTCTTAATTAATGTAGAGATTCAGAGAATCCTCAGATATATGTATTCAGATAGTTATTTTTTTTAAATTCTGAGTTCTGGCTAGGTGAGATAGCTCATACCTGTAATCCCAGCTACTTGGGGAGGTGGAAATAGGATTACTATTTGAGACCAGCCCACACAAAAATTTAGTGAGTCCCTGTCTCAGATAACAAGCCAGGCAGTGGTGTATGCCTGTGATCCCAGCAGACGTAGGACAATTGAGATCTGAGGCTGGCCTGGGTAAAAAGTGCAAGACCCTATCTGAAAAATAACTAAAAACAAGAAGGGCTGGAGGCATGGCTCAAGTGATATGAGTTCAAACTCCCAATACCACACTCACAAAATAATAATAAAATTTAAAAAGCTGAGTTCAACATATAAATATTTTATTGTAATGTAAATCATTTTTTAACTAAAATGAGGTTTGTGTGTATCTAATGATACAAAGGAATTTTAAAGATTTCTTACTATACTCGCAGGAAGGGATTAGATAGTCCCTTGGATCTAATGACGGACACATTTCTTTAACAGACAAGTCATCAATTGCTGGCTCAGAAGATGCTGAACCTCTCGCACCACCCATTAAACCAATCAAGCCTGTCACCAGAAACAAGGCACCTCAGGAACCTCCGGTAAAGAAAGGACGGCGATCAAGGCGGTGTGGGCAGTGTCCTGGCTGCCAGGTGCCTGAAGACTGTGGTGTTTGCACTAATTGCTTAGACAAGCCCAAGTTTGGTGGACGCAACATAAAGAAGCAGTGCTGCAAGTGAGTAGATCTTACTCGGAGGTGCTGAGTGCTCAGTCCTCAAAAGTGCTCATTCATCCCTGACTTGATGTAGAGATAGGTAGGCAAACCAGCTGTTGCACTGAGTTTCTTGGGTTGCACATTAGTTCAGAGTGGGATTTTGTGTTGTGGTCAGGATTGGCTGTGACTGTTAGAAATGGTCTGGGCAGTGCTGTCTAATAGAGCACTCCACAGTGATAGACACGTTCCACGTATGCTCAGTTCAATGTGGGAGTCATTAGTCACGTGTGGCTATTGAGCACTTGGCCTGTGGTTAGTGTGACTAAGGAACTACATTTTTTATTTCCTTTAATTTTAATAATTTAAATTTAAGTAGCCAGATGTCATATCAGTCATTGCAGCTCTGGAGGGTTTCTACTTAAAACTGGACAAAATTAGGCATTTGATTCGACCGTTTCTTTGTGGCATGCAGGAAACTTTGGAGACATCTGTGCCTAAATCTCTGCTTTCTCACACTTTCAGAATCTTTTCATGGGTATGGAATTTTTGACAGAATTTTTTAATGCTGTACCTTTTCTCCTTCTCAGTCATTTGATGGGTACACTTTCTGCCATCTGGGATGATTTGTTTAAAATTGAATTGCATAAACAGAAATTTTGGCAATTGAGCATATTGCAAACTGCCTGCCAGAAATAGATGTTTACTGAATGAACAAACGAATGACATGAAAATGATTAATACAAAGCATAGTTGGGAGAAATGCTACCTTATTTACTTCATGGGAGACAGTTTCTAGGAGACAAGATGTAGTTCTATGCTTTGGTTTTGTCTGTCCTCAAGTAAGAATCAGGGTGATTAGTGGCAAGAAGTAAATTAACTCACATAATGAAAAAAGGTACATGATAGAAAGATAAAATTGCACTGAGTTTAGGGGCTAGAATGAATTCAGTGCAATTTTAGACTTCAAATTAATTCTGTTTCATTAAACTTACATAGAGAGGTGGAAAAAATATAGATATCAAAGTCATGAGATATACCTGTAGCATTGTAGTGGCAGACAAAGGGCTTGGGTGACTTTAGTTCATTTTGTGTGAATAAATATTAAATCTTATAAGGGAGTAGTACTCATTTGACTACAACAAGTCCTCACTGATCATTTCATGTGTGGTGTACTGGTCATTATTGAGTTATGAGACATTTGAGTCCCATTGCAAAAACAATTTGGTATTTGTTCTTTTTAAATCCTACGGGTAGGTAAAATTGCTGACCCAAGGATTTTTAAGGCTCAGATTTAACCTGAGTAATAAGCAGCCCTTGTTCAGCTGTTAAAATAAACCCAAATAGAGATTCACTGATTCTTGCAAACAAATGACACTTGTTTTAGTTGCTTTTCTTTTAAGTGCAATTTATGTAATGATTTATTCCTTCTTATCCTAGGATGAGAAAATGTCAGAATCTACAATGGATGCCTTCCAAAGCCTACCTTCAGAAGCAAGCTAAAGGTAGTGGTGTGAAAAGGTCTTCCCCAAAATGCTTCTTGCTTTAATGTCATACGGTAATGTACATTCAGTGTAAAGGGAGTACTAGGTTTTTGTTTTTGTTTTCTTTTAAAGTACTGCTCTTTCCCAGGGAGTTGGTGGTTGTTGAAGCTGGATGATAGGTACATGGGGGTTTATTTGACTCTTCCCTGTGTTTTGGAGTATGTTTGAAAATTTCCGTATTAAAAACTTTTTAAAAAAATATGTAAAAATTATAGCTCGCCATTTCCTAGAGCAATAAGAATATACCTACTTCGCCTGATCAACTTGGCATTAATTTTCTTAAGCCTTTCAGTGCCAACTTTAGCTGCAGAAAACTGAGAACAAGATTATGTTATATTTCTATACTTCTATTTTAACTAAAATTTTTCTCACTTATAAATAGACGATCTTGTTTTGTTCCTCTAGCTGTGAAAAAGAAAGAGAAGAAGTCTACTAAGACCAGTGAAAAGAAAGATAGCAAGGAGAGCACTGCTGTGAAGAACTTAATGGACTCTAGTCAGAAACCTACCCCTTCAGCACGAGAGGATCCTGCCCCAAAGAAGAGCAGTAGTGAGCCTCCACCACGGAAACCCATGGAGGAAAAGAGTGAAGAAGTCAATGCCTCTGCCCCAGGGCCCGAACCTAAACAAGTCACCACTCCAGCTTCCAGGAAGTCCAGCAAGCAGGTCTCCCAGCCAGCACCAGCCATCCCCCCTCAGCCACCTAGCACAGGGCCCCCAAGAAAAGAAGTTCCCAAGACTACTCCTAGTGAGCCCAAGAAAAAGCAGCCGCCGCCACCAGAACCAGGTTAGTGAGGAAGGCAGGAAGGATGACTGAACTACAAGAGCTAGCAAAGAAGCACTGATGTCTGAAATGTCCATTGGAAAGCTGAAATGTTTGTCTTCAGTTCAAGAAAAGTAACTATTATATAATAGCAGAAATAGAAGCAAAACAAAAAGGTTAGATTAGTGCTATTTTGCCTTAATTTCCTTTTGGAAGCTTAGAGTTCCTTTGTTTTTTCTAATACCCTATCTTCACAGGCCAGTCTGAAAGTAGTCATTGCCAGCATCTGACTGCAATCTGTTTTGAATTCTTTAGGTCCAGAGCAAAGCAAGCAGAAAAAAGTGGCTCCCCGCCCAAGCATCCCTGTAAAACAAAAACCAAAAGAAAAGGTGAGGAGAGATTTGCTTTTCTGCTGTTTTTCAAGGATGTGTTCTGTTCTGTGGCAAAAGCCTTGTCTTTGACATGTTCATGGTTGAGTGAAACTGCATTTCTGCTTCCATGTAGATGGCAGTGGAATTTCTTAAAATTAACAAACTTAAGGTTTAGACCTTAGCCAGTCTTTTCTGGTCTGTTTCCTTTGTTCCTTTTCCCTTCTTCGTGGCCCTATATGTTGTAGTCTAGGCATTTACTTATTCTGCAGGGCACGTGGCATAATTGTTTTTCCCTCAACATACTTTAGTAATATTAGTCTATAAAAGTCACCCTTATTTATGTCCACTATTTATTATGGATAGAGGCAGAGAGAAGTTAAGAATCTTCTAAAGATGTCTCTTCTCTTTCCATAGGATACTTATGTTGAAACATTTTCTAGGACTGTTAGTAGGATTTGACATTTGTATTGTCATCTGTTGCAAACATAAAGTCAGGTAGAATGTTTTTTTCCATATTTTATGCCTCTAGGAGAAACCACCTCCAGTCAACAAGCAGGAGAATGTAGGCACTTTGAACATCCTCAGCACTCTCTCCAATGGCAATAGTTCAAAGCAGAAAGTCCCAGCAGATGGAGTCCACAGGATCAGAGTGGACTTTAAGGTAAAAGCATTCAGTGATATGACAGTCATGACCTTTAAATGGAAAAAAAAAAAAGGTACTTCTAAAGGTATTGAGAGGAAATTAGTAACAACTAGAGAAATGAGTAAGAACTACAGTTAGGGCTGCCAGAGTAGCTCAAGCAGTGAGAGCACTGCCTAACAAGTGTAAGGCCCTAAGTAAAAAAAAAAAAAACCTTGTTAGCAGATGGCTCAGGTGTCTGAGAACTCCAGTCAGTGTTGTGAGGTCAGTTTATGACCTGCGCGTATCTGAGAAAATAGTTCTTTCTTATAGGAATGATCAAATCATGATGATTTCTTGAATTAGTAAAACTAAGGAAATTCAGTCCCAGTGTATCTTTGTAATATATTTAGTAAGACTTGAACTACTAGGTGAGCCTTTTAATAGTTTGTATCTGAGCCAGGCACCTCTGGCTCACACCTGTAATCCTAGCTACTCAGGAGGCAGAGATCAGGAAATTCACTGTTTGAAGCCAGCCCTGGCAAATAGTTTCAAGTCCCTATCTTGAAAAACCCTTCACAAAAAAAGGGCTGGTGGAGTGGCTCAAGGTGAAGGCCTTGAAGTCAAGCCCCAGCACTGCCAAAAAAAAAAAAAAAAGTTTGTATTTAAGATTAAAAATGTTTAAATCAGCATTTATTTTTGGACTCATTGAAATGAAATATTCTTGGCATTCAAGTGTCACTCTAATTTTATGCTTTTAATCCTTATTTTGTCATTGTAAACTTTCCTGTGTGATCTGTCTCTCTCCCCTTAGGAGGATTGTGAAGCAGAAAATGTGTGGGAGATGGGAGGCTTAGGAATCCTGACTTCTGTTCCTATAACTCCCAGAGTAGTTTGCTTTCTCTGCGCCAGCAGTGGGCACGTGGAGGTAAAGTACCCTGCTTCTTTATTCCCCAGAAAGTGCAGATAATGGGTTGTTAGCAGTTAGAACATACTGTCCCCCTGTTTAAACCAACTAATGAACATTTTCAAATTTTTTAGAAATTTCAGGAAGGAATCTGATGTTTTTCTAGAGCAGTAAATAAGTCTTATCTCTTAGATTCGATCTTTATTTTGTTTTGTTTTTGTCAGTACTAGGGTTTGAACTCAGGGCTTATGATGATACCTCCAGTCCCCCTAGAGTTCTGATTTATCTGTTAGATGTCCAAACATAGGGAAAATGCTGTTAGCTAGGCATGGGTGGCTCATACCTGTAATCCTAGCTATTTGGGAGGCTGAGATCAGGAGGATCATGGTTTGAGGCCAGCTCAGGCAAATAGTTTGAGACATCATCTCCAAAATAGCCAAAGCAAAATGGGCTGGAGATGTGGCTCATGCAGTGGAGTGCCTGCTTTGCAAGTGCAAAGCCCCGAATTCAAACCTCAGTCTCACTAAAAAAAAGATACTATTGCTGGTTTTGTATTTGAATACCAAAGCTCCCTTTGTGATGACTGGAGATGTGGCTCAAGTGGTAGAATGCCTGCCTAACAGGCTTCAGGCACTGAGCTCAAACTCCATACTGCTAAAGAAAAAGGAGGGATGGGGAGGGGAGGAGGGAGGAGGGAGGAAAGGGAGAGTGGGCAAGTTGCAGACATATGCTCTTTTGTGTATCTGTGTATTTCCCAAAGTCAACATTGTGTTGTATAAGCACGATATAATCACCAAATCAGTAAATTAACATCTAATCTACAGACTTTATTAATGTTGGACCAGCTGTTCTACCAGTTCCTTTTTGGCAAAAGAAAATCCTGGATTATCATTAGTATTTTTGAAAATTCTGTGTCAGATCCCTCCCTGTTTTTTCCCATCTGACTCTTTCATATTCCCATAGTCTTTGTTTACATTCCCTTATGGCACTTGGCACATACTGTTAGTTTTGAGTCAGTATCTCACTATGTGACCCAGGCTGGCCTTGAACTCTCTGTTCTCCTTCTTCCGATTCTGGAGTGCTGGGATTATAGGCATGCCACTCTGTTAGATCTTACATGTACTTTGTTACTTTGTGATTCTAGTGTTAATGTTTTAGTACACTGAATCTCTTAACATTGCCCAGTGACTGCTTAATTCAGTATGTTGAGTATCCCTTCCTTACCTGAAATACTTAAGAACAGAGTGTCTTAGATTTTGTTTTTTTTTCAGGTTTTGGAATATTTGCATATACATAAGGTATTTTGGGGCTAGAACCCAAGACTAAAAATGAAATTTTTGTATACATTGAACTATTGGAGGTCAGGTGTACGATCTTCTACTTATGGTGTCATAAGTATTCAAAAGTTTACAGATTTTGGTACATTTTGGATTTTCAGGTTAAGGATATTCAACCTGTATATGCTAGTGGACTCCTAAAGCTTAGTCTTTAAATAGGCTATGGTTACTTTTTTTTTTTTCCCTACATATTATTTGACATACTTCTATGTTCCCATTTTTTTGGTATAGTTTGTGTATTGCCAAGTGTGTTGTGAACCCTTCCACAAGTTTTGTTTAGAGGAGAACGAGCGCCCTCTGGAGGACCAGCTGGAAAACTGGTGTTGTCGTCGCTGCAAATTCTGTCATGTTTGTGGAAGGCAGCATCAGGCTACGAAGGTACAGAACTTAATAGTAGAGCTCTTAGAGTATTACTGTGTGTCTCCATTTCTGCCTTCTAAGGTTCTAAATCTATATTCTTTTCTCTGCTAACAATTTTTTGACTATTTTAATTGGGTGTAACCAATTGCCTGATTCTGTGTTTTACTTTTGGAAATATGGCAGAGAACATGGCAAGGGAAAAACTTCCAAAGTAAGTAAAATCTATCCGGTAAAATTACTTACCTCTGAGTGCCTTTGGTAGGAAATAAATCTCTCTGGTCTCATAGGCAGTAAGTAGTAATCACGACAAAATTTCAACTGTTGTAAGGAAATGCTGTCTGACCTGAAGGTAAATGTGAAATGGGTGCTAAGAAACAGGTGTTCGGTGAAGGGGACGTGATGTGTTTGCTGTTATATTTCTCTACAGCAGCTGCTGGAGTGTAATAAGTGCCGAAACAGCTATCACCCTGAGTGCCTGGGACCAAACTACCCCACCAAACCCACAAAGAAAAAGAAAGTTTGGGTGAGGACACACATTGTGCTATTTTGAAAAGAGTTACCATGGGTTGGTTAGGTTCACACAACTTGTAATAGGAACATCCTTACTTAAGGATGTCAGTGTGACAATTTTTTTGCCTCATTATTAGGAAAAGTCATCTCAGTAAAGAAGCCAAATCTAGAATTGTATTTGAGATCTTAAATAACAAACAATATTAAACTAAGAAATTTCTATTGAATTTCTTTTCTTCTTTCCTAGATCTGTACCAAGTGTGTTCGCTGCAAGAGCTGTGGATCCACAACTCCAGGCAAAGGGTGGGATGCACAGTGGTCTCACGATTTTTCACTTTGCCATGATTGTGCCAAACTCTTTGCTAAAGGTACTCAAAAAAGCTAGTTTTGTCCACATTTGGTGTTTCAGAGGTGAACTGGCCACTCCAGGGAATGAAGTAAAAAGTCTTACTTGTTATGTTACAGTTTAGCTTATGGAAAGAATTAAGGGTAATTTTTATTATCACTAAGTGCAAACAAGTGGTCTAAGCCAGCACAGCACACATGCAACACATACACAGATTTGATTATCTCTGAAATGATTTTAGGTGATACTCAAGCATTTTATTTTAATAGTTGTGCTAGAAAAAAATTCCAATACATTAAGCCCATTATTTTAATGAAATGATATGAAATCACCATTAAAGTTTTTGTGTTTGTTTTTTTTGAGTCACACTGTAGCTCAGGCTGGCCTGGACCTCATGATCCTCCTACCTCACCCTCCTGAGTGCTGGGATTACAGGCCTGTATCTTCACACCCAGCTGAAAATTACTTTTAGTAAAATAATCGGTCAATTTAAACAAGCCTATTTAGTAAGAAGTAAGAGAGGAGATATGTGGATAAAGTAAATTTGTGACTGTTGTACATAGAATTAGATTTTAAGAAAGTGCTGCTCCAACCTGTAATGTAAAATCACTAGGAATAACAAAGTTTAAAGTAATTGTGTCTTACTTCTGTAATGCTACCTTTTTAAAAATTTAAACATTCCTTTTGAATGTTTGAAACATGTTCTCTTTTCTGTTCTTTTTCTGTTTTGTTATCTCTAAAATTTACCTCATGACTTTTAAATAAATGTGTGTAAAGAGAACCAGCAGCGTATGTGAAGTTTTCCAGCTCAAATAATCTTAACACTTAGCAGATGTGTGAACACCCCATCATAGAGTATGCTAACACTCATAAGTGACTCCGAAGAATGCAGATTTTAGGTTAGGTTGGGACATTGAAAGCATTAATGTGTGAACCAAAGCTTTTCTGCCAACTTTCAGGAAACTTCTGCCCTCTCTGTGACAAGTGTTATGATGATGATGACTATGAGAGTAAGATGATGCAGTGTGGGAAGTGTGATCGCTGGGTCCATTCCAAATGTGAGAATCTTTCAGGTACAGAAGGTTGGAATCTTTTTTATTTTTTATTTTTTAATAGTTTCTTTCTAGGCACTGCTGCATTTACAGTTCCCAGAACACTATAAACCTAGGATTATAGTCACTCTATTTGAAATCTTTTTGTTGTTGTTGTTCTCTAGAATAAGCAACATTGTGTTGTTTGTGCTCCTTTCTCTTGAACATATCCTTCTATTTAGTTACTGCCTTTAGTAGGTACCATAATCTATTGGCTCTCCGATAACCAAATCCTGGATTAGTGTTGATTAATAATGTCCTGTTTGAATGTATGTGTGATAGTCTATGGAATATTAGCATCTTAATGTGGTTCTTAACATGCAACTTTGTAAGAAGGTCAGTGGCATAGCTACCTCTTTTCCCTCTCTGCTGCTGTTCGGAGGACCTCATCATTGTAGGTTTTTGTTTTCCTAGATGAGATGTATGAGATTCTATCTAATCTGCCAGAAAGCGTGGCTTACACTTGTGTGAACTGTACTGAGCGGCACCCTGCAGAGTGGCGACTGGCCCTTGAAAAAGAGCTACAGATTTCTCTGAAGCAGGTTTTGACAGCTTTGTTAAATTCTCGAACTACCAGTCATTTGCTCCGCTACCGGCAGGTAAGGCCCAAGTTTCGTTTTATTCTCTCAGAGCTCATTTGCCTAGTAATGGAATAGGGAATTTTTGTTTTGTTTTGCTTCATTCTTCATTTAGTTTTATAAAGTCACTTGTTTTGGTTATAACCATTAACCAAGAGTAGAGCTTTCTTTGGAGTAGGAAATAGGAAGGGGCCATATCTTCAAAGGACTTGCTTCTATGCCAGAAATGTGGACTTTGTGCTCCGACAGTGATGGGAGCCAGTGAAGGACTTTATCCAAGAGAGTAGCCTGGTCAGAGTTACTTTTTAGAAATAAAATTATTCAGACTGGAGTGGAGAGGAAAGATTAGAGAGGATTGAGTCTAGGGTCAGGAGAAGTAGTTGGTAGGTAGTTACGATAATTAGCTTAAAAATGATTACATGTAAGTTGTGAATTATACATCTATAGTCATTGGAAACACTAGGTAGAATGTTGGAAGAACCACCTAGATAACTTTAGCTCAGAGCTAGGCTTCTGTTTTCTCTTTTTAATAAAAGTGTTTTGTTTGTTTGTTTTGTTTTGTTTTGTTTTGGCAGATTAGGGTTAGTACTCAGGACTTTGTACCTGTAAGGCAGGAGTCTACCATTTGAGCCACATCTCCAGCCCAAGCTGCTGCTGCTGCTTTTTTTTTTTTTTTTTTTGTGGCACTGGGTTTGAACTCTGGGCTTCTTGCTTGCAAAGTAGGTGTTCTCCCATATGAATCCAAAGTTCTGGGTTATTGATTTATTTTTGAGTGGGAAAATTCGCTTTTCTCTGTGGTACTCAAAAGGAATTACAGTTTTGAATTTTTCATATTAGTTTTAGAAATAATCAAGCAAAATTCGTAAGTTAACCTAGCCAAGCCATTAGATAACAGGCTCGTTTTAACTTTATTTAAGAACTCTGGTTATTTTCATGTTCTTTGTGTTTTATAGTAGGTTTAATATCACCTTTATTAATTTGAATAGAATTTGCATAGGATGCCTCATTTTCAGTCTTAAATAAAAGAGCATTTTTCCTGGCAACAGGCTGCCAAGCCTCCAGACTTAAATCCTGAGACAGAGGAGAGCATACCTTCTCGAAGCTCCCCAGAAGGCCCAGATCCACCAGTTCTTACTGAAGTCAGCAAGCAGGATGATCAACAGCCTTTAGATTTGGAAGGAGTCAAGAAGAAAATGGATCAGGGGAACTACACATCTGTGGTATGTCTCTACAGCAAGTGACCAAAGTTTCAAGTACCAATTTAGCTTTCTTGGATCTTTGGGAGATGAAGCAGGATATAAGTAAATTTTCAAATGATTTGTATTACATTTAGAAATGTCACACAGCTTGGGATACCTAAACATACATGAATCATTTTAGCTTTCTGCTTCAGAAGAAGGGTTATGATATGGTAATCCCTTGAAATGATTCTTTTATTTGGCCTACATCTGAGTTCTCTGAAAATTACTTTTTCATTAAGAGGAAGCACTAACAACTTTATGAGAAAAATGTGAATGCTAAGTCAATTAATTCTCCCTTTTTGAACTTAGAACTGAATAATATATGTTTATTCATTTGTAGATAATGTCTTTTAATTTTAGGGAGAGGTTTTTTTTTTTTTTTGTCTTTTCTTTTTTGGTGCTGGGATCGAACCCAGGGCCTCACGCATGCTAGGCAAGCGCTGTACCACCGAGCTACATCCCAGCCCAATTTTAGGATTTTAAGAATGTATAAGAAATGTTCATTTGCTATCTCACGGTCTGTATTTGCAATTCATTTGTTTATTCATTTTAGTCCAAATTAAAAAATTGTAAGCCTGTTTGACTAACTTAGCATGATAGAGGTAGTTTGTTTGCATTTTTCCCTTATTACCCTGCCATCTTGTCACAAGTTAATTGTGAAGAGAATCCCAAAGGCCTTAGCTAAAGAAAAATTACACTATATTAAAATAGGGTATGAGGGTTCTGTTAAGTCAATATACTGGATGATTGAGGAGAGAAGAAAAAACAGTTTTGAGATTATGCTACTGCTTTATGAATAATTAAGGTTTTGTTTTTGTATGTAGTTGGAATTCAGTGATGATATTGTGAAGATCATTCAAGCAGCCATTAATTCAGATGGAGGGCAGCCAGAGATTAAAAAAGCTAACAGCATGGTCAAGTCCTTCTTTATTCGGGTAAATGATATTAATTCATATTTTCAGTGCTTACCTATGATTAATTGCTCATGAATACAGTGGACTTGCTTTCTCTTACTATTTGCTTTGCCATGTGTGTAAAACATCCTTGGCTTAATTTGTTCCTCTGATTCTTTGGGAGGAAGTTGGTGAGGTTGTCAGAGTGGCTGAATCTTTGTCTTGGTGTCCTGAAATCACTGTCATATTAACAAAGATGCTGATGTAAAGATGTTGGTTTTTACATGGTTTCCAAATGAATATTCACATGTTTACATTCTGTTTGCTTGTCTGTTCTCTTTTAGCAAATGGAACGAGTTTTTCCATGGTTCAGTGTCAAAAAGTCCAGATTTTGGGAGCCAAATAAAGTATCGAGCAAGTGAGTAAATATAGCATTACTTTTTTTTTCCCTCAAGAGCTAAAAATCGGAACGTTCTCGTATTTCTAAATTGAGATTTCTAGGAGGTTTTAATGTTAAAATGAATCAGTTGAGATGCCTTTTCTGTGCTTGTTTAGAAACAACATGCAGTATTTGTTGCAGGCTGTTGCCACCTATTTGTTCCATTTACGTAATTGTTAATTGGCTTAACTTGTGGTATATGGGCAACGGGTGTAATAAAGCCATGTTATCATTGGGCCTTGTTATTATCTATTTCACATAGTTAAATGGTGCTTTCCACTGCCCTTGATTCTCCATAGTTACCCTTTAATTTTTATCCCATTAAAATTTTTTGATTTTTCGATAGGATTATCATTTGTTTCTGGAAGTTTAGCCAAGAATCATATATTAAGATTATAATTTTAAGCCAGGCGTGGTGATATACACCTATAATCTCAGTACTGGAGAGGCTATGGCAGGAGGATTGTGCATTCCAGGCCAGCGTGGGCTACACAGTGAGATCCTGACTCAAAATGAAAACAAAACTATTAAAATTTTTAAAATGTCCAAGTCCTTGGAATTAAAAATGAAAGATACGACTGTAAAATAGGTACTGTGTGTAGGGGGCCTCTTGCGGGGTACATGAGTGAAGAAGATGAAGGTGAGAGAATATGGTTGATGGGATTCATATACATACATGAAATAGAACGATGAAACCTCTTACAGTTACTTTAAGTGGGCAGGGAGGGGGTCATGGGGGAAGGTGGTGGGGTCATCTAACTAATGTACAATGTAAGGCTGTTGGGAATTGGTACAATGAATCGCCCCTGTACAATGAATATATGCTAATAAAAATGGGGGGGAAATGTCAAAGTCCCATGTATTTAGGCAATTTTCAGATTCTGTGACGTGTTCTTATATTCTGTGAATGGCTTGGACATGAGTCCAAGAGCTGATGACATAAAGAATTTGATTATTTTGTGTGTTTCTAGGTATGTTATAGGAGCTCAATAAACACTTGTTGAATTGATTGTTTTCAGCAGTGGGATGTTACCAAACGCAGTGCTTCCACCTTCACTTGACCATAACTATGCTCAGTGGCAGGAGCGAGAGGAGAACAGCCACACTGAACAGCCCCCTTTAATGAAGAAAATCATTCCAGCTCCCAAAGCCAAAGGGCCTGGAGAGCCAGACTCACCGACTCCTCTCCATCCTCCTACACCGCCACTTTTAAGTAAGTTCCAAGTGTAGGGTCGCTGTCTGTTTCTTTAGGTGCAAATGATTGACTTTGTGAATCAAAATTTAATACATTTAGTTATCAGGAATTTTCAGTTCATCCATAAATGTTATGAAATCATTGTTTTTGTTGCACTTGGGATGTTAGCAAACCTTAATGTAAATATTCTTGAGTATTGTAATATATCTGATCAGATAACATAATTTGGAACACTTTTTGAAAGCATTTATTTTTATAGACTATTTGAACAGAATTGGTTTTGTTTTTGTTTTTCCTAGAAGTCAGATGTAGTGTTGCCAATTTTAACTGCATATCTTTTGGGTTCCAAGGTTCCGATAGGAGTCGAGAAGATAGCCCAGAGCTGAACCCACCCCCAGGCATAGAGGATAATAGACAGTGTGCATTATGTTTGATGTATGGTGATGATAGTGCTAACGTAAGTACTTTGGGGCAAGAGGTTCTGATTAGTAGACACCTCACATGAACTGTTTTTCCTTTCTGGCAATACTTCATTGCTGAGTGCCATTTCTTTAATTAATATTTCCTTGTCAGTTTGTAGTACTTATATTTCTTCCTCTCCCTCCTGCTCTCCCTCTCTCCTTGAAACGGGGTCTCACTATTTTGCCCAGGTTGGTCTGAAACTTGCAGTCCTCCTGCCTCTGCCTCCCTGGCTTTTAGAGTTTTGTTTATTATAACTGAGTTGGCTGATTTGCCTTAAATTAACCTATTGATGTCTAATAAGTTCTAATGAAAGTTCCCTAAAAATATTTTGTGAAATTCAATAAAATATAAGTTGCTTATTAAATAGCTTGTGTTTAATATAAGATAGTAGAATGACAAAGAGTCCCTGTTATGACAGTGATCCTATATCCATTTATGTTCTTTAGTGCCTACTCGTTTAACTTAGCAAGAAGCTTAACCTCTCTATCCTTGGTTGCATCTTTTAAATCAAGATAATGATGCTTTCCTCAGCTGGGAATGTGGCTCAAGTGGTGAAGTGCCTGCTCTAGCAAGCACAAGGTCCTGAGTTCAAACTTTAGTACCACAAAACGAAAGTTCACCTTTATATAAATTTACAACATACTGTGCATTTTTTATTCTCTCAATTTATAATCAGTGTACAGAAAAAGTAATCTAGAAGGAAAATAGAAACATTGAAAATTGAATTGTTTTGATGTATATTCCTAAATTAAAGAATTACTGTTTATTTCTTGAGGTTATCGTAACTCAGGTAAAATTAATATCAAGGGAAACCTCCGTTGGCGTTATATTCTTTAAGAATTTCATAGGATGAATTGTATTTCATAGGATGCTGGCCGATTGCTATACATTGGCCAAAATGAATGGACACATGTAAATTGTGCTTTGTGGTCAGCGGAAGTATTTGAAGATGACGATGGATCACTAAAGAACGTGCACATGGCTGTGATCAGGGGCAAACAGCTGGTGAGGACTTATGGATAAATTTTATGGAAGAGATTCCCTATTAGTTTCTAGATGTTCTTTCTGTGGGGAAATGCTGTCTCACTGGGCTTCCACAGTGTTCTCAGAGTAGTTCTCCAACAAGTATTGGTACATTTTGTAGGCAGATTGGTACTCTGATCATTGGATGAGGGATACCAAAAAAAAGATAGAAAATAAAGCATTATCTAACTTGGAATATAATTCAGATATGTGAGGAATGTGTCAGTTTATTAAGATTTAAGACTAAATGATCTCAGAGGCACTGGCTGAGTCAACATTCTGAGGTTCCACAGAGTAAACTCATTGACATACATCCGTAAAGAAGGGATGTGGAAAGTGATGATGGCAGTTGAGAGTCATCACAAAAGGCATTAAAGGAGTAAAAATTTTAAGCCTATCTTTTGAGGGAGGAAGAAAATGGAGGATTGTTAAAATGAAAACAATAAACAAAATAACACATATAAAGAAACCTAAGTGAATTGTGTGGAGATCACAAACAAGAAGTCGTACCTGGGGAGGAGGGCAGATTGTGACTAACAGAATAGGGGTGATGCACAGGGCCCAGTGGAGCTGAAGGTTGTTGTCTATTGCATCTAATAGCTACAGAACCATTATGTTTCTTTCTCTTTTTTTGGTGCACCATTCCTGGAGGTACTGCTATACCAGGTCGATGCGTGGAGTGGACGGAGCAAGCTCCTGTTCCACCTTCTGCTTCCAAAAATCCATTTAATGTACTGTCCTCAGATAGAGGACGTATCAGACACTAAACTATAGGAACAGATACTACACTCGATCTTAGCCAAAAGACCGAGAAGCGATCCATTATGTTTCTTGACTAGTAAAATCTTTGTAAAGCCCTCACATTGGAATATAATAACATCCTTGCAAAACAGTGTTTTTAGCATTGGTCTCCAAAGTTTCATGTCTTATAAATTAATCATGCATCCTACCAAAAAAAAAAAAAAAAAAACCAACAGCTGGTGGAACGGCTCATGTGGTAGAAGCATCTGCCTAGCAAGTGTGAAGTCCTGAGTTCAGATACCAGTGCTGCCAAAAAAAAAAAAAAAAAAAAAAGAGAAGAAAAAAAAAAACAGAGCTTTCCCTTTAAGGACTGGTGGAGTGGCTCAAGTAATAGAGCACCTGCCTCTCAAGTGCAAGGTCCTGAGTTCAAATCCCAGTACCACCAAATTTAAAAAAAAAAAACTATTTTGGTCCAAGTTCTAAATGGAATTGCCATATTTACATTTAATAGTTACAAGGCCCTATATTGGAAAAGAAGGGATTTGATGAAGCTTTGCTGCTTTTATCATTTCTCTGTAATTCAGCAGATTACCAATAAACAAAATGAGTTGTAGAAAGCTCAGAATGAGGTGATTCTATAGAAAAGAGGGCAAATGACTTAAAATGTCTGAAAGTCTGAATGGAGCTCTGTTCTTTCTGAATTTTTAGAGATGCGAATTCTGCCAAAAGCCAGGAGCCACTGTGGCTGAGTTCAAACCCCAGTACGACAAAAAAAAAAAGTACTGAGATTTCCTATGTACTCCCCATTATTAGCATCCCCCAAGAGAGTGGTGTGTTTGTTACAACTGATGAATCCATACCACTACATCATCATCCAGAGTCCACAGTATACACTTAGAGTTCACTCTTGGTGTTGTATATGCTACAGGTTTGGACAAATGTGTAATAGCATGTATTCACCATTGTAGTATCATACAAGTATTTTCACTGTCCTAAAAATCTTGTGTTCTGCCTGCTTTCTGTCTCTCCCCTTAACCTTAGGCACCCACTGATCTTTTTACTATCTCCACATGGTCTTCCCATTTCAGAGTTGGAATCACATAGTACATAGCCTTTTCAGACCAACTTCTTTTACTTAGCATATGTATTTAAGTTTCCAGTAAGTCTTGATATTGTTTTTGTAGTCACTTCTTGAATTCTCTAGAAATTCTGGGGAAAATACTGAAAAATAGCAATAACTCAGTTTTGCCTTCTTACCAGCTGTTGCTAGAGTCATGTCCCTTTACCAGAAATAATCACAAGGTGATTTTGAAATGTGCTCTGTGTTCTCTCTCTACAAGTCATCACCATTAATATTATGTGTAAATGGGCAGACTGTTAACAGTAACCTTTGATTTTATTCAAGGTGGTTCCTGAGAATGGATTTGAAGTTTTTCGAAGAGTGTTTGTGGACTTTGAAGGAATCAGTTTAAGAAGGAAGTTCCTCAGTGGCTTGGAACCAGAAAATATCCACATGATGATTGGTATGGCGTTGGTTGTTGGGGAAGGCTGTGTTACCATTTGGATACTTTCTAGTCCTCAGTATAAAATGATCTTCCTCACTGTCTCCTCTAATCAGCTCCTCTTTCCTTGGTCAGGCTCAATGACAATCGACTGCTTAGGCATTCTGAATGATCTCTCTGACTGTGAAGATAAGCTCTTTCCTATTGGATATCAGTAAGTAGTATCATGAAGTACACAGAAACCCTACACCTCAAGCACTTGGAAGCCATGTTTGCTGGTCACTCATGTAGACATGTGCTTGTTAACTACTCCTAAAAATTACCTTTTGCTAGTTCTCTGGCTTATCAGTTTGTAGACCGGAACTAAAGCATTATGTCAGATAAATACAGTTATGAAAGCAAAGCATTATTGGCATAATTTCAGAATCATTTCCAAAAAAATTCCAAATAGAAAACATAGGGTCAGTCTCAAGATTTCTCCAAATTCCATTTATCTGGATACAAAAGTCCAGATGCTTTCACGGATCAGTCACCTCATTCCCTGCCTCCAGTTTTACCTTTTTTTTTTTTTTTTTCTCCCACTTTTCTGTGAAGTGCTTGAGAATGAACACAGGTCCTCACACATGCTAACAAGCAAGCACTCCATCACTGAGCTAGCTGCACTCCTAGTATTACAGTTTCTAGGTCCTTCCAAAAATGTGAGTCTCTGCAATAATAGATTCTAAAGAATTTTTTAGCATAAATTAATTATATGAAGGGGTTTCACTGTGATGTTTACATATAGGCGTATCAATTGCGTTGATCAGATTACTGCTTTTTAACAGTTTTTAGTGGGTTTCATTATGCTGTTGTGTGTATGAAATATACATATATATATAAATATATAAATTCCTCTTCTACCTCTCCCTTCTTGGAGTTTCATTTTGCAATATTTACTCTAATTTGTTCTGCATTCTGATTCTGTGTGTGTGTGTGTACATACATATAAAATGTACTTCTATCTGTCAAAACTTTGCCTCATCCTAGGTTCCCTGGTCTGCTTCATTTAGAGAATTTGGCTTTATTTCATGGGTTCTTAGTCTATATGAAGAATTATAAACTCCCCTCGTTAGGCTGCAGCAATCTTTGTTGTCTCTCTTTTATTTTTGTTTTTTATGTTTTCAGCTGTACTAGGGTTTGAACTTAGGGCTGCTATGCTTGCTACACAGGTGCTCTATCACTTGAACCATGCCTCCAGCCCAGGTTGCTCCAATCTTTGTGAAGTCCTTGGTGTTTCCACGCTTCTCAGAAAATTGCCTAAGATTGTTTTATTATATCCCAAGTAGTAAAATATCCAAAAATCCAGAAAAATAAAAACACTAATTACTACAAGAAACAGATACTGACCACTAGGAAGGGACTAATGCCCCACAATGTGTATAAAGTAAGGTTCTAAAATAAAACAAAGGGCAAGCCTGGGGTGTTTTCTTTGGGAGAAAAGCCTCACGAAACAAGGGAAGTATGAGTGCTTCAAATCAGCTGAATGCTGGTGGAGGCTTGTTTACACAAATAGCTAACAACTAAATGTGACAGTTATCAGAATTAGAATGCAGAACAAATTAGAGTAAATATTGCAAAATGAGACTCCAAGAAGGGAGAGGTAGAAGGGGAATTTTGATTTTACATTGTCAGCCCGCTAGATGCTTAGACAATTTGCTTCAAATAAAAGATAATTTTTTTGTTTTGAGACAAGGCTCACAATGTAGAGCAGGCTGACCTAGAATTTGTGACCCTCCTGTCTCATCCTCCTGAGTGCTGGGATCACAGACACTACCATGCTCAGTTAAACAACTATGAAATCTAACTGAAGAATCTGATCATATAATGATACTATGACACAACTGTAAAAGAGGGACTGCTTGGGGACAAACTAGTGGGAGGAGGGGAGGAGGAAAAGAGAAGGCACAACAGCCCTAAGTTCAAACCCTAGTATGGCCAAAATCACATAAAACAAAAATAGAATAGAAACTACAAAGATTGCTGCAACCTAATTAGGGGAATTTGTAATTCTTCATATAGACTAAGAACCCATGAAATAAAGCCAAATTCTCTATATGAAGCAGGCCAGGGAACCTAGGATGAGGCCAGGTTTTGAGTTAGTTTCTGCTTCTGTCCTCTCATTTGTGATTTTTCCCAATTATCAGATGTTCTCGGGTATACTGGAGCACCACAGATGCCCGCAAGCGCTGTGTATACACATGCAAGATAGTGGAGTGCCGTCCTCCAGTTGTAGAGCCAGATATCAACAGCACTGTTGAACATGCTGAAAATAGGACTATCGCCCATAGTCCATCATCACTTATAGGTTAGTCTTTAATCCAGGTGGGCTTGAACTAGAGTTTTAGGAGTATGTACTGAAATTGAAAGGTGGGAAGAAAAGTTCATTTCTAGTTTGGTATTTACCTAATAGCTGGCTTTTTATTGGTTGATTTGTTCAGTATTTTAACTGATTCTTTTTTAGTTAAGAGTTTTTATTTCCTACCACAGAAAGTTCATCTAAAGACAGTCAAAATACAGCAGCAATTCTAAGTCCTCCATCACCAGACCGACCTCCTCATTCGCAAACCTCTAGCTCCTGTTATTATCATGTCATCTCAAAGGTCCCTAGGATTCGAACACCCAGTTACTCTCCTACACAGAGATCCCCTGGCTGTCGGCCATTGCCTTCTGCAGGTAAAAGACTTCATTGACCTACCTAAGAAGGTCAGCCCAAAGATTAATTTGTAATTTCTTTAGACAACCTTATCGTGGTGACTTTTGCTAACTGAAAATCTCCATTTTCAGTTATCTATATATAGATATAGAGAGGACATGAAAATCACTGATTTCCACACATTTGTTCTGTCTGTAATAGACTTTCTTATTTTTTCTCTCTTGTTCAGGGAGTCCTACCCCTACCACTCATGAAATAGTCACAGTGGGTGATCCTTTACTCTCCTCTGGACTGCGAAGCATTGGATCTAGGCGTCATAGTACTTCTTCCTTGTCACCCCTGCGATCCAAGCTCCGGATAATGTCTCCAGTGAGAACTGGAAGTACTCACTCCAGGAATGGTGTTTCCTCAGCCCCTACCATTGGGACCTCTCCAGACCCTGAGTCAAGTGCCAGAGCAGTTGATCACACTTTAGGGCCACTGAATTCCAATGCTAATCTAGGGCACAACACTCCCACCTCTCCAGGTACGCAAAGGACAGTGCCTACTGTGGGCTCTAAAACCAGCCACTTGGACGGATCTTCATCTTTAGAAATGAGGCATTCTAGTGCTTTAGACTTGGCATCAAAGAGCTCCTCTTTAAAGGGAGAGAAGACCAGAATGCTGAGTTCTAAGAATTCAGAGGGAACTGCACATAGTGTGGCTTATGCTGGAATTCCTAGATTGGCCCCACAGGTTCATAATATCGCTTCTGGAGAATTAAATGTTAGTAAAATTGGCGCTTTTGCCGAACCCTCTTCTGTGCAATTTTCTTCTAAAGAGGTCCTCCCCTTCCCACAACTCCATTTGAGAGGGCAAAGGAATGATCGAGACCCACACACAGATTCTACCCAACCAGCAAACCCCTCTCCAGATGAAGATACTGAAATCAAAACCTTAAAGCTTTCTGGAGTGAGCAGCAGATCATCTATTATCAGTGAACATGTGGGATCTAGTTCTAGAGACAGGAGACAGAAAGGGAAAAAGTCTTATAAAGAAACTTTCAAAGAAAAGCATTCCAGTAAATCTTTTTTGGAACCTGGTCAGGTGACAACGGGTGAGGAGGGAAACCTAAAGCCAGAGTTCATTGATGAGGTTTTAACTCCTGAGTTTTTGGGGCAACGGTCATGTAATAATGTTTCTTCTGATAAGATTGGAGATAAAGTGCTTTCTATTTCAGGAGTTCCCAAAGCTCCATCCATGCAAGTAGAAGGATCTTCAAAGGAATTACAGGCACCCCGGAAATGCACAGTCAAAGTGACACCTCTAAAAATGGAAAGTGAGAGTCAATCCAAAAATGCCCTGAAAGAAAGTAGTCCTGCCTCCCCTGTTCAAATAGAGTCAGTATCTCCGACAGACCCAGTTTCAGCCTCCAAAAGTCCAGGAGATGGTCCACTGGTTCAACCAAGTTCCAACAGTGCCTCATCCCAGGATTCTCAAAGTAACAACTATCAGAATCTTCCAGTACAGGACAGAAACCTAATGCTTCCAGATGGCCCTAAACCTCAAGAAGATGGCTCTTTTAAGAGGAGATATCCCCGTCGCAGTGCCCGTGCACGTTCTAACATGTTCTTTGGGCTCACCCCACTATATGGAGTCAGATCCTATGGTGAAGAAGACATTCCATTCTATAGCAGCTCCACTGGGAAGAAGCGAGGTAAGAGATCAGCAGAAGGACAGGTGGATGGGGCCGATGACTTGAGCACTTCAGATGAGGACGACTTATACTATTACAACTTTACCAGAACAGTAATTTCTTCAGGTGGAGAGGAACGGCTAGCATCCCATAACTTATTTCGGGAGGAAGAACAATGTGATATTCCAAAAATTTCACAGTTGGATGGTGTTGATGATGGGACAGAGAGTGATACTAGTGTCACAGCTACGACAAGGAAAAGCAGTCAGATTCCAAAAAGAAATGGTAAAGAAAATGGAACAGAGAACTTAAAGATTGATCGACCTGAGGATGGTGGAGAAAAGGAACATGTTATTAAGAGTTCTGTTAGTCACAAAAATGAGCCAAAGATGGATAACTGCCACACTGTAAGCAGAGTGAAAGCACAAGGACAAGATTCCTTGGAAGCTCAACTTAGTTCATTAGATTCGAGTCGCAGAGTCCACACCAGTACCCCCTCAGACAAAAATTTGCTGGATACCTATAATACTGAGCTTCTGAAATCAGATTCAGACAATAACAACAGCGATGACTGTGGGAATATCCTGCCGTCAGACATTATGGACTTTGTACTGAAGAATACTCCATCCATGCAGGCTTTAGGCGAGAGCCCAGAGTCATCTTCCTCAGAACTACTGAATCTTGGGGAAGGATTGGGTCTTGACAGTAATCGTGAAAAAGACATGGGCCTTTTTGAAGTATTTTCTCAGCAGCTGCCAACAACAGAACCTGTGGATAGTAGTGTCTCTTCCTCTATCTCAGCAGAGGAGCAGTTTGAATTGCCTTTAGAACTACCATCTGATCTCTCTGTCCTGACCACCCGAAGTCCCACTGTCCCTAGCCAGAATCCCAGTAGACTGGCTGTAATCTCAGATTCAGGAGAAAAACGAGTGACCATCACAGAAAAATCTGTAGCCTCTACTGAAGGTGACCCAGCACTTCTGAGTCCAGGAGTAGATCCTGCTCCTGAAGGCCACATGACTCCTGATCACTTTATCCAGGGACACATGGATGCAGACCACATCTCTAGCCCTCCTTGTGGTTCTGTAGAACAAGGTCATGGCAACAATCAGGATTTAACTCGAAACAGTAGCACCCCTGGCCTTCAGGTGCCTGTTTCCCCAACTGTGCCCATCCAGAATCAGAAGTATGTGCCCAGTTCTACTGACAGTCCTGGTCCATCTCAGATTTCTAACGCAGCTGTCCAGACCACTCCACCCCACCTGAAACCAGCAACTGAGAAACTCATTGTTGTTAACCAAAACATGCAGCCACTTTATGTTCTCCAAACTCTTCCAAATGGAGTGACCCAAAAAATCCAGTTGACCTCTCCTGTTAGTTCTACACCCAGTGTGATGGAGTCAAATACTTCAGTATTGGGGCCCATGGGAAGTGGTCTCACCCTCACCACAGGACTAAATCCAAGCTTACCAACTTCTCAATCTTTGTTCCCTCCTGCTAGCAAAGGACTGCTCTCTATGCCTCATCACCAGCACTTACATTCCTTCCCTGCGGCTACTCAGAGTAGTTTCCCACCCAATATCAGCAGTCCTCCTTCAGGCCTACTTATTGGGGTCCAGCCTCCTCCAGATCCCCAACTTTTGGTTTCAGAAGCCAACCAGAGGACAGATCTTAATACCACAGTAGCCACTCAATCTTCTGGACTCAAGAAAAGACCTATATCTCGTCTACACACTCGAAAGAATAAAAAACTAGCTCCCTCTAGTACCCCTTCAAACATTGCCCCTTCTGATGTGGTTTCTAATATGACATTGATTAATTTCACACCCTCCCAGCTTTCCAATCATCCCAATCTGTTAGATTTGGGGTCACTTAATACATCATCTCACCGAACTGTCCCCAACATCATAAAAAGGTCTAAATCTGGCATCATGTATTTTGAGCAGGCACCACTGTTACCACCACAGAGTGTGGGCGGAACTACTGCCACAGCGGCCGGCACATCAACAATAAGCCAGGATACTAGCCACCTTACGTCAGGGCCTGTGTCTGGCTTGGCATCTGGTTCCTCTGTCTTGAATGTGGTGTCCATGCAAACGTCAACAACTCCTACAAGTAGTGCATCAGTTCCAGGACATGTCACCTTAACTAACCCAAGGTTGCTTGGGACCCCAGATATTGGCTCAATAAGCAATCTTCTAATCAAAGCCAGCCAGCAGAGCCTGGGCGTTCAGGAGCAGCCTGTGGCTTTACCACCAAGTTCAGGAATGTTCCCACAACTAGGAGCATCACAGACTCCCTCTACTGCTGCAATGACAGCAGCATCCAGTGTGTGTGTCCTCCCCTCTCCTCAGACCACAGGCATGACAGCCATGTCCCCTTCTGGGGAGGCAGAAGAACACTATCAGCTGCAGCACGTGAACCAGCTCTTTACTGGCAAACCCGGGATCCTCTCTTCCCAAAGGGATCTCGATTCTACATCTGGAACCCAGGCATCCAACTTCACCCAGACAGTAGATGCTCCTAATAGCATGGGGCTAGAGCAGAACAAGGCTTTGCCCTCAGCTGTGCCAGCCAGCTCAGCCTCTCCAGGAGGCTCCCCATCCTCTGGACAGCAATCAGCAAGCCCCTCAGTACCAGGTCCCTCTAAACCCAAACCAAAAGTCAAACGAATTCAGCTGCCTCTGGACAAAGGGAACGGCAAGAAGCACAAAGTCTCCCATTTGCGGACCAGTTCTTCTGAAGCACACATTCCAGACCAAGAAGCCAACACAGCCTCTCTGCCAGTGGTCACTGGGTGAGCAGTCCAAACAGTTCTGCCCGGTGTGCAGGGCTTTGTGCTCTAGATGCGGGCTGTTGGAGTTAGTCTTTAGGAAGGAACTTCTCTGGAGTTAATTGCATCACTTGGGGAGTTTCTGGATTTTGGCTTTTGTTTGTTTTGTTTTTTTGTTTTTTTTTTTTTGGTAGTACTGGGGTTTGAACTCAAGGTCTCATGCTTGCTAGGAAGGCACTGTACCACTTGAGCCACACCACCAGCCCTTTTTTGTGAAGGGTTTTTTCAAGATAAAGTCTTGCAAACTATTTGCCTAGGCTGGCTTCGAATCTTGATTCTCTTGATCTCTGAATTCCTGAGTAGTTAGGAGCCACTGGTGTCTGGTGGTTTTATTTTTTCTTCAGTGGTGATTAGTGGAGCAAAATTTAGCTTCAGCAGTGAACAGTTTGACTTGGCTAGAACTCCATCTGTAATTATTCTTTGCTCTGATTTCAAACAGTGCTGCTGTTTGCTTCTGTTTCTCTGTTGTTGAGGTTTTAGGATTCTAGGAATGATTCCTGTCTGGGGAGCTTTATGGAGCCCTTTTTTAAAACTTGCCACTGAAATGTCTGTAAGTGTGCAAGTGAATTTTCACATTGTATGCATGCATTACCACCACTTCTAGTGCTCCCAGAAGGCCCCTCGTGCCCCGTCTTGGTCAGTGCCCCTCCAAGTAACCATTATTCTAGCTTTCATGACCATAGGTCACTGTTGAAGGCTTACAAATTTTATCTGATCCTGATAGACTTTGTTTTTTTGTTGTTGTTGGTTTGTAAAATTTTTGGTTTTTGTTTTGCAGTATTGGGATTTGAATTTCGTACTCATTAGTCAGGTTCTCTTCCACTTGAGCCACACCTCCAGCCCCTGATAGAGTTACTTCCTTACACTGACTTTCACATTTAATTCAGCACACATTGACTGGTAGTTCCTTGAAAAGATACAAATGATTCTGTTCTAGGACTGTGGGAGCAGAGACTGAGCAGCAGGACACAGCTGGTGTGGAACAGCCTTCACAGAAGGAGTGTGGGCCGCCTGCAAGGTGAGCTGGAAACTTAGTTCTCTAAGATTAAGCCCTTGACTCTGTCCGTCTCATTTGAAAGGTAGCTGTCCTGATTGCACTGATTTTTGTTTTGTTGTCAGTTTTTTAAAATGGAATTAAATACAAACTTGTTTTAAAAAATAGCATAGAATTACTTAAATAATATGTGATGGTTCTGTTTGTGCTGCCTTCCCTTTCTCAGTCTGTGCCCTAGAGGTAACTATTAGCACCTGGAGGTACAATTCAGTGTTACGCGGGCAGATTGTGTATATGCGTATACATATATGGCATGTATGTGAATATGTGTGTACCTCTTGTACGTAACAGGAATACTATTGTACTTACTGTACAGTTGCTTTGTTCTGACTTACATTGTTTTGTATACATCTTTCTATGACAGTATGTGTAGATGCAGTTCACTTTTTTGTTTTGTTTTTGTTTTTGAGGCAGGGTCTCACTGTATAGCCCAGGCTGGCCTTGAACCTGTAGCCCTCCAGCCTTTAGACTTCCATGTGTTGGGATTGCAGGCATAAGCCACCATACCTTGGCTGCACTTCACTTTTTGTAGTGGCTACCTTTAGTACTATTGTGTGGATCTACAATGATTTATTCAATGAATATTGGTGTATATTTGGATTGTTTGAAGATGAATGGAAGTCATGCAGCTTACCTTTATTTTAATTAAACTAAAATAACCCCAGAATTACTTCTGACAAGTATCCCTTTGTTTTTTTCCTCCTAAGTATGAGAAGAATTTCAAGGATACAATCTACTATTTCAAAAGCAGATACTTGCTGTTGATATTTGGGAAGGAAGCTCATAAATAAAACTATTCTATGTGCCATTCAGTAATGTGGCCATGGTATTAATTTTACAGAAAGCATCTTGTGGTTCATTTTCTAGTAGTAGTTTTGTATAACTGACAACTATAAGGCAGATTGTGAACAGTTTTCATCTTTGAACTGAAGAACTATCTGAAGTTGCTTTTCATATCTGGTTTTCTTTTCATTTAGACAAGTGGCTGTTCTTCCAGAGGTTCAGGCAACACAAAATCCAGCAAATGAGCAAGAAAATACAGGTATATGGATGGGTAATGGATTAAAATCAGAGAATTCCAAAGCTAGGACTATTATAACCACTGATTTACCTCCTGATTTTCTAGATTTAAAAAAAAAAAAAAATCTGTGTTTCAGAGTAGTTAAGTGATTGGCTGCAGTTGTAGAATGAAACTCAGCCCCTGTCTGCTGGTGGCCTTCCACTGCCTAATCTGTGATTGTCTGTCAGCTAGGAGACACAAAATCACGTCTTTGAGTATCCTTTGCCGTGCTAGTTTAACAACAGTAACATTTAAATAGCTAGTGATAACCTGACTTCATCCTTTAGTTGTCACTAAAAGAAACTAAACCATTTTTATTAGACAGCCAGATTTTGGTTATAACACCACATACATCTCAACACTTTCTATCTGGCCCAATGAATTTCTCAGGAAATAGAAAAGGCTTAAGTGAGAGATTTGGGGTGTCACCATATCCTGCTGATTTGCCAATTCTTCAAGAGGACTGAGACGTCTGTTGCAGTGAGAGATGGAGGATGAGAGTGCAGACTCTGGAGCCAGATAGGTTGAAATTCCAGCTTTACTACACATTAGCTATATGAACTTGGACTTTTTTTTACCCTCTCTCTGCCTCAGTTTTCTCTTCTTTAAAATGGAGTTTATAGTAACAACTAACTTACTGGGTGGTTGTGAAATCTGAGTTAATCTGTATGAAGTTCCTAAAAGAGCCTTAGGCATAGGAGCTCCACACAGATCAACCATTGTTATTTTTTTGCTCTGACCTTATTTGAGGACACTTATTATGGAAAAACTGTCAAACTGTCATACCAGAAACTACAGCAGAGACAGCCTAACTTCATACTAGCTATTACTGACAGCAAGCTGATTGAGCCACAGTTTTGTCATCTGTGAGTGGAATGGAATACCAGTTACAGCATGTTGTTAGGCTTAGAGATAGTACCTGGACAGTGCTCTGCACACAGTTGGCATTCAGTAAGCATTTGTTATTGCAACCACTTTGGCTCCTGTTTTCTCCCTCATAGAGTCTAAAGCAGTAGAAGAAGAAGAAAGTAATTTCAGCTCTCCTCTGATGCTTTGGCTCCAGCAAGAACAAAAGCGAAAGGAAAGCATTGCTGAGAAAAAGCCCAAGAAAGGACTTGTTTTTGAAATTTCAAGTGATGATGGCTTTCAGATCTGTGCAGAAAGTATTGAAGGTGAGTGAATTAAATCAGGTCAGCCCTCCATCAGAGGCCTCGTTTCTGTCTATTGTACTGTTGAGGTGGGCAGTTTTGTGCCAGGTGTGGATACCTGGTAGCATTTTACATTTTCCTTGTCCTTGCGAAGCTTGTCTTGTTGGAAAAATAGCCATAATTTAAGCAAAAATTTAAATGATACAGGGTAAGTTGTTAAGACAGCATACCTTCATAGAGTGTAACTCTGCTTTTCTCTCCAGCCTTGTCTCCTGCCACTTCCTTGTGCACCTACCATGTCGGTCTCTCTCCCTTGCGCCTTCATACATGCTGCTCCCTCTGCCTGGAATGCTCTCACTGCTTTATGCTCTTATGACCCTGCCCAGTCTTCCTGCCTTCCTGAGGCAGACTAACACTGCCATTCCTTCCTTTCAAATTTCATCTGTTCCTCGCTCAGAGAGTTGTTTGTGAAGTTCTTACTCTTATGTCTCACTCATTATTTACTCATCTGGGTATCCTTAGCATGCAAGTGTTCATGAGCTGCTGGAGGACTAGTGAATTTTTCCTGAACTATAAATACTAGAGAAGTTCAAAGAAGAGAAAGATCACTGAGAGTGAATTAAGGTTATCCAGAAACCCATGAAGATTAACACAATAGGAGATTCAGTTAAAAGGAGGCTAGAGTATTTTGGTTAGCCAATGAGGAATGGGAAGAGTTTTCAAAGAAGAAATATAAGCAAAGTTAGAAAAAATACCTTGCACGTGGTAGGTTTAGAGCAGGGTCAAATGGGAGTATGACATTGAAATCCATGTCAGGTAATAGTAAAATAAAAACTGGAAGGTAGACTGGGTATAAGTTTTGGAGGGCATACAGGCCATGAGGCTTTGAAAATTTGGGGGAGTAGAAAAGCTTAATATAGTAGTTCCACACAAGAAATTGAATTGGAGACACTAGCAGCAGATGGCATAAATGAACACATTTCTTCAGTAGAAATGACAGTTCTGAAGCTCATGTGAGCAAAGAAAGAAAGAACGGACACACTTGCTAACTGCTTAAATATGAGGAGTAGAAAGGGAAGAGTCAAAGATGACTGTAAGCTGGGCATTGTTGTGCATTTCTCTAGTCCAGTTTTAGGGAAGCTGAGGCAGGAAGATTGTTTGAGCAACATAGCCTGGGAAACATAGCAAGATGCTGTCACTTTAAAAAAATAATAATAATAGTATAAGGAGAAGAAAAAAATGATTGCTTTGATCCTATGAGCCCTACATAAATAACATTGAGTGTGTTGGGCTGGGGATGTAGCTCAGCAGTAGAGCACTTGCTTATCATGGGCAAGTTGCTGAGTTCAATCCCCAGCACCACAAAGAAAAAAGAAGCCAGATATGGTGGTGCATGCCTGTAATCCCAGCAGTCAGGAGGTAGAGGCAGGAAGATCTTGAGTTTGAAGCTAGTCTGATCTATGAGTTCCAGGTCAGCCTGGGCTATGTAGCAAAATCCTGTATCAAAGAGAGAAAGAGATTGGAGGACTTGGTGGTGGGGGAGGGGGTGGTTTAAGTGGTACAGCACTTGCTTGGCCCTGAGCTCAAATCCTGGTACTGCAAAAAAAAAAAAAAAAATCCAAATGGAAATGTCTGACAGACAGTAAAAGATCACAGAATCTTAGCTTAGAAATGGAAGCAATTTAAATGTTTTCTAATTCCAACCCTCAATTTTAAGGAACTAAGATACAGTGATCTCTTGAGAGACCTGGTTAAATCTTTGGTACCAACACTATTTTGGTTCAGAGCATAGGGAATAGGATCAATACCAAACATGCAGGCCTGAGACCCAGTCTTCCAACAAGGATGCGAATGCTTTGGGAATTCAGAAGCTGTGACTCTCATTACTACTTCCGTGGCCAGAGAAAGAAGCACTGCTGGGCTGTGCACCTTCCCAGTACTTTCTGATGTAGTGAAATGATTAAAACTGTAAGAATAGCAACAAAACACTGTCCTAAGAGGGTATGTGTAGGGATTCTAAGCATAATGCCTGTCACGCACTGATGTTAAGAGATGTTGGCATGGTTGGGCCACCGGCTGAGAACACAAGGGTGGCCAGCCCAGGCATATAGTTCTTGAGATCCCATTTCCAAAAATAACCAGAGCAAAATGGACTGAAGGTATGGTTCAAGCAGTAGAACACCCTGCTTTACAAGCACAGAGCCCTATGTTCAAACCCCAGTCCCACCAAAAAAAAAAAGAGAGAGAGACGTTGGCATGAATATTTTCCAGCCTACAGTTTTCTTTTATTTCCTTACAGATGCCTGGAAGTCATTGACAGATAAAGTACAGGAAGCTCGATCAAATGCCCGCCTGAAGCAGCTATCATTTGCAGGTAATGGCTGAAACTGTTGTTTTACTTTGCCTCAGAGTATTCTGGGAACTTGTTAGTCTAGGCTACAACAACAACAACAAAAAAAACTTAAAAAAAAAAAAATTATTCACAGGGCACAGTGGTTCACACCTGTAACCTCAGTTACGCAGGAGACATAGGTGGCAGGATAGTGGTCTGAGGCCAGTTTGAGCAAAAATGAGACCTAACTAAAATATAACTAAAAAAGCAAAAAGAGCTGGAGGCATGGCTGAAATTTTAAGGCACCTGTCCAGCAAGCACAAGGTCCTGAGTTCAAACCTCAGTACTACCCAAAACAAGATTTTTTTTTTTCACAGCCTTAGAATATAATTCACATGTTATATAATTCTCCCACTTCAAGCATACAATCCAGTGGTCTTTAGTATGTTCATACGGTTGTGCAGCCATCACTACCTTGTAACTCCAAACATTTTCTTCATCCCTACTCCTAGCCCCTGGCAATGACAAATGTACTTTCTCTCTGGGTTTACTGATTCTGGACACTTCATATAAATGAAGTCAGGCATATGTGACTGGATTCTTTCACTGAACACAAATGCTTTCAAGGTTCCTTCTTGGGATGGAGATGTAGCTGAGTGGTAGAGTGTATGTATGCTTAACATATGGAAGGCCTTAGGTTCGATCCCCAGCAACAACAAAAGAAAAAGAAAAAAGCTTCCCTGTGTAACATTGCATTAATATTTCATTCCTTTTTTTCCCTTTGTCAAATAATATTCCATTATGTGAATATACCATATGTTGCTTACCCATGTATCAGTTAATGGATGTGAGTTTTATGCTTTAATTTTGAATAATTTCCATATTTGTTCATACAAACGTTTGTGTAGATGTGCTCTTATTTCTCTTGGGTGTACACGAAGGAATAGAGTTTCTGGGTTATATGGTAACTCTAACTTTTTGAGAACATTTTATATATATATATATATATATATTTTTTTTTTTTTTTTTTTTTTTTTTAGTGGGACTGGGGTTTGAACTCAGAGCCTCATGCTTGCAAAGCAGGCACTCTACTGCTTGAGCCATATTTCTAGCCCATCTCTTTAACTTCTTGAGGAGCTGCCAAAAATTTTTTTCCAAAATGTCCTCACCATCCCAGCTGGGCAAGGGCTCCAGTTTCTTCATGTCCTTGCCAACACTTGCTATTGCATTTATAGACATTCTGGTGAGTGTGAAATTGTCTCCTTGTGGTCTTTACCTTTTTTTGTTTTTCATTGATACTAGACTTCAAACTAAATTTGTGCATTGTAAATGCTTACTAATATACTGGTTCAGTCTTAAGTATTCTAATTAATCTAAGGTCTAAACCTTCCGTCGACTTATTTTTTCTCAAATCTGTTCAAATTGGTCCTGGGAAGGTTATTGAGGGGCATATAGAGTAATTAAGCTTTATCTATAATGCTTTTGGTTTTCTTTTTAAGAAGGAAGAAAGGGAAAATACTTGAAGTGTATATTAGGAACCATTAACATTTGTTCATTTTAGGTGGCAGGTACATAATCAGGTTCCCTTTTTCTTTTTCTTTTTCTTTTTTTTTTTTTTTTTTGTGGCACTGGGATATAAACTCAAATCCTCACACTTGCAAGACAGGTGCTCTACCGCTTGAGCCACTCCAAGCCACTCCTCCAGCCCTTTGTTGTGATAGGTTTTTTCAAGATAGGGTCTTGAGAACTATTTGCCTGGGGCTGGGCTATCCTCTTGATCTCTGCCTCCTGAGTAGCTAGGATTACAGACTTGAGCCATTGGTACCCAGCTCAGGTTTCTTTTCTGTGTGTGTACACAGTGCTGGGGATGGAACCCAGGGCCTTTGCACATGCTAGGCAAGTACTGTATTACTGCTGTACATCCTCATCCCTCAGAATTTTTTAATTAAAAAAAACTCAAAAGGCTCAACCAACAATTTATCTCCCACAAAGTACAAATGGCCAATAACAAGAAATAATAATCTCACTCAATTTTAAAAATGCTCCACTTTGGGCTGGTGGAATGGCTCAAGTGGTAGAGTGCCTGCCTAGTAAAAATGCTCCACTTTGATTAACCAAAGACTCAGAATCTAGAGATAATACAGACAAAAATGGAGGAATTAGGCCCTCCCTTACATTAATGTTGGGCATATAAATTATTACCATAACCATTTGGGAGAACAATTAAATACTATCAAAATTTTCAAGTTACGTGCTCTAACATCTAGTGATTACAGGTTTAAGCAACTACCCTATTGGTAGTCTCAACCAAGTCCTCAAAACTTATAAGGATGTTTATTACAACATGTAGTAGCAGAAAACTGGAAGAAAACTAAATATTCCTCAAGAGAAGAATTTAGTTAGAGGTCCAAAGTAAACTATTTGAAAAGGCAAGTTACAACAGTATACATCAAGTGTGGTCATGAGTCCCTTTAGGTATTTCTTTTAATTGTATGTGAAACCTGGGAGTTAGATGGGCAGCTTTCACTTAACTTCTTTATACTATTTCACTTTATTTCCGTGAGTCAGAATTTCATTTATAATTAAAAAAAAAAAACCCACACACAAACTAGTTTTTTTTTTTTTTTGGTGATGGTGGTACTAGGTTTTTTAAACTTTGGGTCTTTGTGCTTGCTAGATAAGCACTTTACCACTGAGTCATACCACTAGCCCAAATATATTCCATTTTTAAAAGAAGATGGCAATTAAGTTGAGAAAAATTTAGAATTCTCCTGGGTTCTTAGCCTCTTCTCTCATTCTTTACACTCTGTAGGGTGGTTCAGTCCTTCCCATGTTCTCACACGATGATGTAACAACCCAAACCTTCATTCCAGAAGGCTCTGTCTAGATCCTCAGTTGACCTGCCTTTCTAAGGCTGGAGTAGCTCTCTAATCAGTGTAACCGATGGTCATGAAGTAGTAAGTGCTGCAGAAAGTACCCCTTCCCAGACAGGTCCTCCTGACCACCGTCCTACCTACCATCCCCCAGTGCTTAGATCAATCTTGATGTCCTTCCTCATCATTCTTGTCGTATTGATTCTACCCCAGAAATGTGGGTTACATTCCTTTCTTCTCTTTCTTTCCTTCCTCAGGCATAGCTCGTGTTATTTTCTCACCTGTAATATCAAAAAGTCTTGTAACTGGTCCCTGGAATTCCCATCTCTCCTCCATATAGTGTTTACTCAGTGTCACCAGAGGAACTGCAAAGGCCTCTTACTATTGCCCACATACTAGATGAATAAATCTTCAACTCTTTTAAGTATTTGTTATTAATAAGTACTTAAGTATTTATTCAGTGTTCAGTACTCATAATAGCCAGATAAAAGCAGACCCAGCCCTGTTCTCCTGAGTTTCCAGTCTGGATCCTCCCATGACAAAGTCCTGTTCAGCCTCAGCTCTCCTCAATTTCCTCAGTCCTCAATAGCCTCTGTTCTTTTGCCCTGTGGCACTGCTTACTACTCAGTTCCATCCGTGTCGAAAAGTGTGTTCTATAGATGTGAATCAGAATCTTTGGGCTCAGATCTGGGAAAGCTGAGTTTTAAACCTGTGTTCCCAATCAGTTGGTATACTGCATGTGCTTTCACATTAGCAAACATGGTTCATGCAGGTCCCTCTAGCTATTCCTACTTGCTTCTATCTTCTCTCCTTCCCAGAATCCCTGTTTGCTTGATAAACTCACGTTAATCTTTCAAGGCCCTGCTCAGAGTCACCTCTTTTCTTAAGTGATTTAAACAGTAAGATAAGTTTATCATCTTATGTAACAGAAAGTTCAGAGGTAGGGCAGTGTCAGTTTGATTGATACAGAGTTTGCTGTGTTATCAAAGACGTGCACTCTTTCCTTCTTTCCACTCTGCTGTCCATGGCAGAGCTTCAGCTTCATACTGACAGCAAATGGCAATACCAGGATTATACTCAGTCCTGGAGATGTTTGGAGGAACTGGAGGGCCTGTTTCGTTGGGGTTTTTTTGTTTTTTGTTTTTTGTTTTTTTTTTTTTGGATATAGTGTCTTACTATGTAACCGAGGCTCACCTCACTATCCTCCTGCCTTGTGCGCGCCACCTAACCCAGCTGAAGAGAGACTTTAATAGAAACAAGTGGACAGCTCAGACAAGAGGCTCAGACAAGTCACCAGCATGGGAACTCCCAGGACTGGCTCAGACTAGGTGGGAGGAATGCTGGAAGTTTACTGTGACCCCAAATCTGCCCATTATTCCCCATCTTCAGTACTGCTCCCTGTCTTTGTTCTCATGGCCTACAGTCTAGTGGTAGATGATGGCTGTCTTCTTGTTCGCTCTCTGCCTCCCCCAGCTTGTGTAACTCTTTTACTTCATACACTTAATTTTTTTAACCTTGTGACTTTTTTGGCTTAAAACACAAATGCATTGTACAGCTGTACAGAAATACTTTGTTTATATCCTTATTTTATTACCTTTTTTTTTACTTTTTAAGATTTTTATTTAAAAAAAAAAGCTAATATATAAACATACATACTAGCCTAGTCCTACACAAGATCAGGATTATCAGTATCACTGTCTTCTACCTGCACACATTTTCCCACTAGAAGGTTTTGCACAGGCAGCAACACATTTAGAGCTCTCGTTTCCTGTAATAACAATGGCTTTTTCTGAGGGACCTGCTGTTTTACAGCTGATCTTTACATATACATATATATATATATATTCATAATGACCACTGAGGTGGGAATTAGTAGCTGCTGCTGCTGCTTTTTTATGTGTGTGGCACTAGAGAGTGAACCCAGGGCTCATGGACTTACCTACCAAGTGCTCTAAGAAGAAACAGCAGCAGCTGTTAATTCCCACCTCAGGTAGTCATTACAAGCTTGAAATGAAGTAATACAGATAGCATTTCTGTGTACATACAGCACACAGAACACAGTTTATAGTTTGGTGACATGCTTTTTTTCCACTTAGCAACCTATGATCAATTCTTTCCATATTTATAGTTCTGTACCAGCATTATTTTAATGGCTACCTAATGCTAATTTCTAGCTAATTGTTAATATCATTCACCCTTGAGAGCATTTATTCAGTGTAGCCTATAGCTGGCAGCTATTCTCTAACACAGCATTTTGTTAATACTGTGCAGCTTCCTGTTGGCTGCACTCCTCACTACCCAGATGCTTTCCACCCTACAGGTGTTAACGGTTTGAGGATGCTGGGAATTCTCCACGACGCAGTTGTTTCCTGATTGAGCAGCTATCTGGTGCCAAGCACTGTCGGAATTACAAATTCCGTTTCCATAAACCTGAGGAGGCCAATGAACCCCCGTTGAACCCTCATGGCTCAGCCAGGGCTGAAGTCCACCTGAGGCAAGCTCCATTCTTTTCCTTAAGCAGTTTGGGATCCCAATTTTTCTACCCAATGTTAGTTATTTTCCTACTTACCCTTTGAGATTCCCAGTAGTAATGCCATTGTCTTACATACTACTTAATTAAAGTGTTTTTCTAATTATAAACCTTAATCTTTTGACTCCAGGAAATCAGCATTTGACATGTTTAACTTCCTGGCTTCTAAACATCGACAGCCTCCTGAATATAACCCTAATGATGAGGAAGAGGAAGAGGTACAGCTGAAGTCTGCTCGGTAAGTCTCCAGTGAGGAGGGTCATTAGGAATACTCTTTGTTTCCTCTACCCCAGCACTTCAGGGCACTGTGTAGTTTGGCTTGAATCAGTTTCCTGGATAAAACATTCAAGAAGACTGAAATATAGTTTGCATTGAAGTAGCAGGAGCTGGCTATAAAGAGAGAAGATAAATTAGAAGAAACTTTGAGCAATTGTAAAGTGCATATTTTCTTTAATAATAATCTATGCTGTCAGCTTTGAATGTGCCATCATAGTTTTTGTCAGGAAGTGTGTTAAAAATGGGGTTCATTTTCTGAGGTACTATTATGCATGGCACTGAACCATATTCTCTAGGAACCTTCAAGACTCAAAACACTATTTCCTGAAGAGAATTCATTAATAATAATCTACCTTCTCTCTTAGGAGAGCAACTAGCATGGATCTGCCAATGCCCATGCGTTTCCGGCACTTAAAAAAGACTTCTAAGGAGGCAGTTGGTGTCTACAGGTATGGCTGAATTTCAGAAAGAATTACTGAAAATGAAGTTTCCCAGAACAGAGTGGACCAAATGCTGGAGTGACCTCCCTCCTTCAGTTAGTGGAGGTTTTTGTAGATACTGTTAATTGAACCTGGTGTCCTGAGTTCTTGGAACTCTAGTACTAAAGTAGAGAAATCGTTAACCTTTGTCTATTTGTCAGCACAATTAATATGCACATTAGATAGGTTCAGAATCAATCTCTCTCTCTCTCTGTCTCCCCACCACACCCCACCCCTCTTCCTAGGAACCTGACAGACCTGGAGAATTCATTAATTTCATCATGTGTTCATACAATTACCCTTACCTGAAAGTTCACCTCTGCTCTTTTCCATTTCTGTGCCCTAGGTCTCCCATCCACGGTCGGGGTCTCTTCTGTAAAAGAAACATTGATGCAGGTGAGATGGTGATCGAGTATGCAGGCAATGTCATCCGTTCCATCCAGACCGACAAGCGCGAGAAGTACTATGACAGCAAAGTGAGTGTCACCATTCCCTACCCACCCCACCCTCCAGCCTCCCCAGTTCGTTTGTTTTGCTGTAGAAAGAAACTATCAACTTGATCCTTGAATTCCAAAAGAAATACTACATGTTTTCAGTTCAAAGACTTTTTCCTTTGGTGCTGGTGGGGGCGGGTCGAACCCACCAGAACTTGTGATGAGTCCCATAAAAATTTAGAATCCACTCAAGGGATTAGTACTCAAAGATACTCTTTGAAGATTCATCTGAGTGGATCCTAGGATTAAAAGCATACAGCTGCACAAGTTTTAGCTTTTTCTTGGAGATAATAAGAAACCTGTAATCTAGGGACTCCTCCTAAAAGCATATTTGAAAGATAGAAACTGGGAGAAATCTGGAAATTTTACTAGAAGAAACTTTCTACATCGGTGGCTATAGGAACATCAGGAGAAGGCTGAGAAATGCTCTCAAACCTGAGCTATAAGAAATAACAAGTTGAGGGCTGGGAGTGTGGTTCAGTGGCAGAGCACTTGCCTGGCATGTGTCAGGTTTTGGGTTCAATCCCCAGTAACAAAAAGTTCTTAAATAAATAACAAGTTATTTTTTTCTCCTACATGTACAGGGCATCGGTTGCTACATGTTCCGAATTGATGACTCAGAGGTAGTGGATGCCACCATGCATGGAAATGCTGCCCGCTTCATCAATCACTCGTGTGAGCCTAACTGCTACTCTCGGGTCATCAATATTGATGGGCAGAAGCACATTGTCATCTTTGCCATGCGTAAGATCTACCGAGGAGAGGAGCTCACCTATGACTACAAGTTCCCCATTGAGGATGCCAGCAACAAGCTGCCCTGCAACTGTGGCGCCAAGAAATGCCGGAAGTTCCTGAACTAGAGCTGCTCTTCTCCCCTGTATTGGAGTACCAGGACCCGGGCCACCCGAAGCAATGCTGACAGCCTTTCCAGCAGTTAGGAGCTCCAGGATTGAGTGGTGGTTGAGCACCCTGCTGTTCCATATTCACATCCTACATGTGATCATAATCTTAGAGACAGATGAGGTCTTGAAGAAGAGATTCATGATCGCCTCTCTCCTGGGGCCCCTCTTGATTGTTTGCTGTTAAAAAGGGGAGAATGGGGCCCCTGGAAGGATTAGCCTGGAAGGAGCCTATAAGGGTTGAGTTTATTGGAAGGTGGGGCCTGAGCATCTCCACAGAGAGCAGTTGCTATCCTCCACTCGGTCCCCTCTCAAGCACTAGAAGTGAGGGGTCAGGCAACACCCCAGATGTAGGGCTGGTTGGATACCTGGTAGCTTGCCAGCCAGGTCCCACCTGTGGCCATCTTTTAAACCAGCAGAAGGTCTGGTGGTTTTTCCTGCTATCCTTCCACTTGAGAGAGTTCACTTCTGGTTGGGAGACAGGATTCCTAGCACCTCTGGTGTCAAAAGGCTGTCTTGGGGTTGTGCCAATTAATTACCAAACATTGAGCCTGTGGGCTTTAAGTGGGAGTGTTCCCCCCCTGAGCCTTATCTCAGCCAATTACCTTTCTTGACAATAGGAGCGGCTTCCCTCTCCCATTTCTTCTCTTCACTCCACCTTCTTCCTTTCCCCTGTCCTTCATCCCACTGCTTTCCCATTCTTCTTTCTGGGTGGTAGGGGAGATTGACTCCCTGTTCATGGACACTCCCTATTGGGCATAGGATGTGCCTACAAAAAGTTCCCTGAGCCTGTAAGCACTCCAGGTGGGGAAGTGGACAGGGGCCATTGGCCATGACCAGACAGAATTTGGAGAAGATTTTGCAAAACTCTCCACTGAGAGTCTTAAAAGAAATATTATGTAGCATGATTTTTTAGAAGAGGATAAAGATTATTTAAATAGGATTTGAATCATGCAACAACCAGAGTATCACAACCAGGATACTCCCTTGGCCCCATTCCTAGGACATGGTTACTTTATTTTCCTCTTGGTAAGACATAGGAAGATGTTATTTTTAAATGGTCAGTGTCCAGTTGAAGGCAGAACACTAATCAGATTTCAAGGCCCAAAACTTGGGGACTAGACCACCTTGTGTTGAGGGACCTCTCCCACCCATGGATGAGGCAAATTAAATGACACTACTACCCTGATTAGGATGTGGTCAAAACAGCATCAAATGTTTCTTCTCTTCCTTCCCCCAAGACAGTGTCTTGAACCTGTTAAATTAAGTCATTGGATTTTACTCTGTTCTGTTTACAGTTTACTATTTAAGGTTTTATAAATGTAAATATATTTTGTATATTTTTCTATGAGAAGCACTTCATAGGGAGAAGCACTTATGACAAGGCTATTTTTTAAACCGCGGTATTATCCTAATTTAAAAGAAGATCGGTTTTTAATAAGTTTTTATTTTCATAGGATGAAGTTAGAGAAATATTCAGCTGTACACACAAAGTCTGGTTTTTCCTGCCCAACTTCCCCCTGAAAGGTGTGCTTTTTGTTGTTTCACGTGTAACTTGTTTGTGCCCTGTTGACATAAATGTTCCCTGGGTCTGCTCTTTGACAATAATGGAGAAGGAAGGTCACTCAGCTCCATTAGGCCACTCCCCTCCTTCCTCACGGAAGCTCCTCCGAAGGCTACAGTAGTATCCTGACACACCAGTTTCTTCTCTTCTTTCCCACTTCCCCTCTCCCTCTGGCACTAGCTCCAGAGCGGTGGGTGGCATCTTTTACATTTCCCTCATCTTTACAAAGTTAGCAAATGAGTTCAATGGCAACCCAACACTTTCCATCACCATCTGCCTCATGGTTCACCTCCTTTCCTTTGCTTTGCTTTCCTTTCCCTCTACCCACCAAGTCCTCAGATCTGCAAAGAACCCACTAATCCCCTTGTGCCCTCTTTTGGGGCAGCCCATTGAAACTGAAGCACAGTCTGACCACTCATGATAAAGCAGCTCTCTGCACCTGCCACAAGGTTTCGGAGTAGTGTAGTCCGAGTAGAGGGTGGGGCACCCTTTTCTCACCACAAGAAGCCCGTTCCTATGGAAGTCTAGCAAAGCAATACGACTCAGCCCAGCACTCTCTGCCCCAGGACTCATGGCTCTGCTGTGCCTTCCATTCTGGGCTCCCTTTTCTTCCAAGACCCTAAGGACTTTGGTGGCTTTGCTGGGACATTGTCACTATTGCCACTGTCATGCAGGGAGCCCAGCACTGTGGCCAGGATGGCAGAAACTTCCTTGTCATCATGGAGAAGTGCCAGCAGGGGACTGGGGAAAAGCACTCTACCCAGACCTCACCTCCTGTCCTCCTTTGCCCACGAACAAGATGCAGTGGCCCGAGGGGTTCCACTGGTGTCTCGTTTCCTTTATTATTGCACTGTGTGAGGTTTTTTTGTAAATCCTTGTATTCCTATTTTTTTTAATGAAAAAAATTAAGCTGCATTTGTTACTGAAATGATTAATGCACTGATGGGTCCTGAATTCACCTTGAGAAAGACCCAAAGGCCAGTCAGAGGGTGGGGGAAACTCAGCTAAACAGACCTAGTCACTGCCCTGCTAGGCCATGCTGTACTGTGAGCCCCCCCTCATCCTCTTTCTTCAACCCCAAACCCTGAGGACAGGGGAGGAAGCCATTTTTCCTTCTCCTGCCAGCTGCAGATGGTTTGCCTTGCCTTTTCACCCCCCAACTGTCAACCACAGAAAAGAGAAATCCCTCTTAAAGCTCAGCCTCGAGTCCATTGCCAAAACTCAGCATACCTGCCAGCAACTTGGGGGACAAACTGAAGGCTTCCCTAGGAGAGGGAAAGAAGGCAAAAATGGTGTAGCTATCTCAAAACATGTCTGACTTTGTTTGGAAAGTGACCAAGGAAACCTGTGCACAAAAGTGCTGATTGAGGAATTATGGGTCATTCCCAAGAATCCCCCAAGGGGCATCCCAAATCCCAAGGAGTAACAGCTGCGAACCTGGTCAGTTCTCAGTGAGAGCCGGCTCACGTAACCGCTTTGCTGCTAGAACCTGTTGTGGCTGCATTTCCTGGTGGCCAGTGACAACTGTGTAACCAGTGTAGCTGCATGGCGCTGACCCTTTGGCCGAAACCTGGTCCCTCGGCTCCCTCTGTTGCTGCCCACCACATCCAGCACAACCTCTCTCCTGTTCTTAGACCAATAACAAGAATTAAGGGGGACACCCTGGCAGCTATGTTTTCAACTAGACTCCTTTGCCGGGACCCAGCCCACCACCCTGCTCACCTCTGTCAGACCCCCGGCCAATACAGTGAGCACCATGCAGCAACCTTGATTTAAAATTTAAAAATTTTTAAAAATAATAAAAAAAAAATACGACATACACACACAAAAAAAAAAAACAAAAAAATATTTTAATGAATGTATCTTTCTAAAGGACTGACGTTCAATCAAATATCTGAAAATACTAAAGGTCAAAACCTTGTCAGATGTTAAGTTTGATTTGGGATTCTTTTTTCATAGAAATCAAGTTGTTTTATTTTTAAGGAAAAGCGGGTCATTGCAAAGGGCTGGGTGTAATTTTGTTTCATTTCCTTCATTTTAAAGCAATACAAGGTTATTGAGCAGATGGTTTTGTGCCGAATCATGAATACCAGTCAAATCTCACACTCTGAAAACTTGCAACATTTTTGTTTTGGTTTTCAAATAAATATAAATATGATATATATAGGAACTAATATAGTAATGCACCATGTAACAAAGCCTAGTTCAGTCCCTGGCTTTTAATTCTCTTAACACTATATATAAGGATTGTGTTACAGTTGCTAGTAGTGGCAGGAAAACGTCAGGCTAGCTTTCCTCTGATTCCCAAGTGGGAACCCCAAAGGGGAACCACGAACCACAAAGGGATGCCAAAATAGGCCATTCTTAGGATCAGAGTTTAGAAACGCCGGAATGGTGTCACCTGGATTTTTCCTGCCCATGAATGTTGCCAGTCAGTACCTATACTCCTTGTTTCTCTACTTTTGGTTATGAATGTTGGGGTTACCACCTGCATTTAGGGGAAAATTGTGTTCTGTGCTTTCCTGGTATCTTGTTCCGAGGTACTCTAGTTCTGTCTTCAACCAAGAAAATAGACTTGTGGTGTTTCTTTTATTGAACTTTTAACAGTCTCTTTAGTAAATACAGGTAGTCGAATAATTGTTTCAAAAGCTCAACAGATGACAAGCTTCTTTTCTAGAAATAAGACATTTCTCAACAACTTTTATCATGTATAACATATCTTTGATTGGTTTTTTTTTTTTTCTTCTTCCTTGTGTTCTTCCAAGCTTCTTCTGGTTAGAGAAAAAGAAAAAAAAAAAAAAATGGAAAATGTGTCTAAAGTCCATCAGTGTTAACTCCCTGTGACAGGGATGAAGGAAAATACTTTAATAGTTCAAAAAATAATAATGCTGAAAGCTCTCTACGAAAGACTGAATGTAAAAGTAAAAAGTGTACATAGTTGTAAAAAAAAAAAGGAGTTTTTAAACATGTTTATTTTCTATGCACTTTTTTTTATTTAAGTGATAGTTTAATTAATAAACATGTCAAGTTTATTGCTGCACATAGTTGAACTTCCTTTTGGCCTTGGCAGGGGTGGAAAAAGGGGGAGGGATGTGGCCTGTGACCAGGTTACAAAATATCTTCCATAGTCCTCTTAAGATGGAATGTCTAAAATCATTTCCCATGGCCGCCTTCTGGTCTCACTGCATGATGGATCTCTTAGCTGGGTTTTCTTTCTTCACTCAGCAGTGATATGTTCAGGATCTGATGTGCTGGATATGAGGAAGGGGTAAAGGAATAGTTCCTTTACTGTCTGCATGTCCCTCCTCTTATCCAGGGGAGATCACGCAGTCACTTTTAAACTGTGACTATAATGAAATGAAAGCCTCTCAGCACCTTCTCTTTGTTCTGTTCCACCTTAAGGCTGAGTCTGTTTATTCTGCTAGGGGCATGGGTTCAGTTGAGAAATAATTGTAAATGTTCTGCCAAGCTAGGGTCACTAACTGCAAGTCAAGTGGGTTGAGCTCACACTACAGTCAGGGAATGGGAGACACTCCTGGGGGTGGTCCCCAAACAACCTCCTCTTGTATCATCTACCTCCTGGAGGTTCAGCCCGCACCCCCCTTTCCTTCCCCTTCTTGTACTCTGAGTCACTTTTTGGGACTTTGGAATTGAGCGCCATGGGTACTCCAAATGATCAGGCAGTGTTGCAGGCAATCTTCAACCCCAGCACCCCATTTGGAGATGTGTTTGACCTGGGAGAGGAAGAGAAGGAAGAAGAAGATGAAGGTGAGCATTTGACCTTGGAGTGTAGGTCTCCACATGGGCTAACCTCTGACCACCTGAACAGAGCAGAGCAGGTGATACTGCAGGGCCTCCTGTTCCTCCCCCCGGGTTATGCCAAGATTGGAACCAAGCTGGCTTGTCTTTAGTGCATAGGTGAAGAGAAGGCCAGGACTTGCCTCAGTCTGTCAGCCCTCACACATCTGAACTTACCACTTAGATCTCTTCCTGCTCCAAGCTTAACTGTGTGGAATGATGTTGAACTCTCAAATCTTGGTCATAACAGACCACCACCACCACCCCCCACCACCTACCTGTAATGGAAGACAAGTAGTGCAGGGGTGGCATCTCAGCTGAGTGGTCCTGATGTAGAAGCAGAACTAGCATTTGTTAAACACTATTACAGCCAGGCACTGACCTACCTCCTCTGCAGATATTGGCCCCTGGCGAAAGAATCTTTGCTGCCCTTGCTTCTAGAGATGTGAAACCTAAGCTTTAGTGAAACTTTAGGCTTAGAGCTGAGTGATCCTTCCGGAGTGGCTTTCACAACCTAACTAAGACTGTCATGGTGGCATTTGTGTAGGACACAGTGTAGTGGAGCAAAATGACAGATAAAAAGCCAAAAGACAAGGGTTCAAACCCAACCTCTAATTTAGGGATTGTGACCATGAGCAAGTTACTGGCCTGTAGGTTGAGGAGTTTGGGCTTCTCTTGACCATGTGGAGCCATCCAAGGTCCCTTTCCCAGGTCCTTTGGGAACTTAGGCAGCGCTCGTGCCCAGGCTTGACCTCAGTTTCTCCTACCCCAAATATTGCAACTTAACTCGCGCTGTGGCCCATGCCCACTCAACTCTGGCACAGGTCTCAGAGTTCTAAAGCCTGAGATGGCTTTTTCATCTTGCTCCCAACTGTACACGTCTCCCCGGACTTCTTCCCTGGTACAGATGGAGCTTTCCCTCAAGCACAGTTGGAGCAGTCCAAGGCCCTGGAGTTGCAGGGGGTGATGGCAGCAGAGGCTGGGGACCTCAGCACAGCCCTGGAGAGGTTTGGCCAAGCCATCTGCCTACTGCCTGAGAGAGCCTCAGCCTACAACAACAGGGCCCAGGCCCGGAGGCTCCAGGGGGACGTGGCAGGTGAGGAGAGACACCCAGGAGCTTCTGCAGAAGGGGCCCCTGGAGGACATAGAGATGAGGGACTGTGGGGCAGGGAGTGGGGGTGAAGCATCACTAAGCCCCTCTGGAGCCCATATTCTTATCTCTAAAGCCTGAGATATGGTGTGGCACTGCTAACCTAGTGGGGCTACTGTGAAAGTCAGAAGAGATTGCATTCTATTCATTAAATTCAAGGAACATCTGAGAGCCCACGAGGTGGCAGTAGACTAGGTACAGAGGATATAAAGATAAAAGATGCACTTTTTTTTTTTGTAGACCAGTTTGAACTCAGACTATCAGTTGCTGGGCAGGCACTCTACCACTTGAACCACTTCACCAGCCCTATTTTGGCTGCATTATTTTTCAAGATAGGGTCCCCAGAACTATTTGCCCAGGCTGGATTGAACCTTTGATCCTGTCGATCTCTGTCTCCTGCGTAGGAAGAATTATAGGCATGAGCTACCGGCACCCAGCTTTAATTTTTTTTTTTTTTTAAAGGCACTGGGGTATGAACTCAGTCACACTTGCTAGGCAGGCACTGCACCTCTTAAGCCACACCACCAGCAAAGATACACTATTTATAGCTAACATTCATATAGCAGTTACTACTCACCAGGCTTAAGCACTTTACGCATAGGCTGATCGATCGTCATCACAACCCTAAATGGTATGAGTAGTATTATCCAATTTTAGGGATAGAGAAACTGAAGCACACAGCCAGGAAGAGGAAGTGGCAGAGCTGGGATTTGAACCAGGTGGTAGGACTCTTTATCTTCACACTGTAGTGCTCTTCATGGAGCTCACAGTCCAGGATGCAGAGCATGGCAAGTTAGAGGGGGCAGCATGAGACCTGCTTCTAAACAGCAAGTTTTGAAGGATGCATAGGAGTTAGCTGAGTGAGTGGAGCAGGTGCAGTTAATAGGAGGCTAGGCCTTCACAGGTGCAGGGAACTTAGCTCTCCAAGCTGCCTGGAGCAGACAGCATGAAAGGAAGAGCTGAGCCTACAGAAGCGGACAGGTGCCAGATGGTGACGAACTGAGAGTGTCAGGCTGAGGCTGGACATGGTGGGGGGTGGTCACCTAAGGGTTTTAGCAGGGACAGCGGTGACTGCATCAAACCTGCTGCATTCAGGACACTCTGGCTAGAACGGGGACCAATCTGGATGTCCGGGGACCAGAGGCCAGGCTAATGCAAAGGTGTAAACCACATGGGACTGGTGGTGGAGGTGTTCCTGGGACCAAGAATGCCAGCTAGAGTGTCTGGATTTCATTCAAGGAACAATGGAGAATCCCCCAAGGGGCCCTTTTCCAGCTTGTCTGCCCTGGGTGTCTGGAGACAGACTGCAGACCAAAACCCCAGAGGTGCACAGGTGATTCCACCTGAAGGGACTTTGATTCCTCCAGACCAGTTCTGCTGAGGGAAACTGAGCAATGCTGCAGTCTGAGAGCTTCAGTGGGGTGTGGTGCATAGTTCGTGCTGAGTTCTGGGAAGCAAAGACACACAGGGAAACTCAGCCTTGCTCCTGGACCATGCTGAGCCAAGCCAAGCTCTTTAGGCTAGAGAATGTGGATTGAAGGGAAGTCCAAAGAAAGCAGCTGGTGGGCCAAGAAGACCCCAGTTTGCTATGAGGTTCTGAGTTCTGAGGCCCAATGCAAGTATTTTATGAGGATCATTAAAAAAAAAAAGCTGAAGTCCAGCTCTGGCTCCAAGACCTCCCTCCAAGGAAATAATATACAAAATAATGAAGATGACAGAGATGATCCAAGAATGAGAAAAGGCATTAGGTCCAGTAAGCAGGGAAAAGAGCTGCTGTTCTAAAGTATGCTATGGAAAAGAGGAAAAAAGCCATCAGAAGGGGAAGTGGCCAGGACGCCTGTACTCCTAGCTACTCATGAGGCAGAGATCAGGAGGATCCAAGCAAGACCCTATCTGGAAAATACCCAACAAAAACAGGGCTAGAGGGGTGTTTCAAGTGGTAGAGCACTTGCCCAGCAAATCTTAAGTTCAACCCCCACCCCCCCCCAAAAAAAAAACAGGGAAGGAAGTGAGAATTTCTTTACAGTAAAAAAGTTGTGTAGTCAATGACACATTTTTGATCTCTGGGATTCAGGGTCGATCACAGGTACAGAGATGCTTGGTAACTCGTCTGTGGAATTACTTGTGGGGGCAATGGGCCAGATGCATTAGTAAAATGGTCACTATGTTAGTTCCTAGAGAGGGGAAATTACTGGGAACAAGCAGAGGCCTGGACTTTAGTTCCAGCTCTGCCACTAAGCGGCCCAGGGCAAGTCTCAACCTTTCCAGCCTCCATCTGGATAAAGGGATAACAACCCCTTCTCCTCGGCTCGAAGGGCTGCATCGTGCAGGCGGGCTGCACATGGCCCAGGCTCGGGACCACCACTGATGGCCGTGGCGCGCGGCCGCAGGTGGGCGGGGGTTGGGCGTGGGCGCGCACCGTTGACCCCGCGTCCACGCGTCCGCCCGCAGGCGCCCTGGAGGACCTGGAGCGCGCGGTGGTGCTGAGCGGCGGCCGGGGTCGCGCCGCCCGCCAGGGCTTCGTGCAGCGCGGGCTCCTGGCGCGACTGCAGGGCCGGGACGAAGATGCCCGCAGGGACTTCGAGCGGGCGGCGCAGCTGGGCAGCCCGTTCGCGCGGCGCCAGCTGGTACTGCTCAACCCTTACGCCGCGCTGTGCAACCGCATGCTGGCCGACATGATGGGGCAGCTGCACGGCCCCCGCAACGGACGCTGAGCGCCGCGGGGCCAAGGGACGGGAGGGGACCCTGAACCAATAAAGCTTCGGGCCTCAGCGTCTGCACCTACTTCTGCGTCCGCCCTCGCGCCCATGCACGTGGCCGCGCCGCGAGCGACCCGCCAGGTGGGAGGAGGGAGGGAGGAGGGAGCGGCCGCCACCTGCGCGCGGCCGGCCATCGATTGGCTTGCCTGGCGCAGGCCCCGCCCCTGCAGCGGACTGCGGCGCTCAGCAGCCCTAAGCAGTTGCTCTGGCTGTGCCGCGGGAGGGAGCCAGGTGAGCCCCCTGGCGAGGGCGACTCTCTCCTGATGTCCTCTTCCTCGACCCAAGAGCACCTGAGCAACGGGGAGTGGGAAAGGGGCACGCGGCGAGAGATGGATGGGTTGGGGAACCTGGCAGGAGAGAGCACGGGGTCAGCAGAAGGGCGATCTCTTTGCGGGAGGGGAGTGTGAGTGTGTTGCGTGTCGTGCGTTGCGGCTACACGGCTGCTCGCTGTATCTGTGCCCAGGTGCGTGCTGAGTGGGTCTGTGCCTTTGGGCTTTGCACTTCGTAGCCGTACCTCGGCCGCTTGAGCCGGTCTACATTCGTGTTTCAGTGCGTGATTCTTTTTGGTTTTGGAGAGCAAATTCCTGAAAGAATTGCTAGGCCCGCCTGCTCCCACCCGGCTGACACCGAGGCTGGTCACCTTCTCTCAGCAGCCTGGAGCCCAGGCCCTGGCTACCATGGGGCTGCCTCCAGGTCCAGCTACCCTCCCGCACACACTGCTGCTCCTGCCAGCCCTTGTGAGCTCAGGTACACCTGTTTATTCCTTGGCTACGCATTTCCGGGCGCCAGAGCCTCCTATCTCCTCTCTTTGCCTGCCCTTTTCCTCCCGGGTACCTACTCCAGGCCCCAGAGCCAGCGTCCCCTCTCCCACCCACCTATCCTAGGTCCAGTCAGTCCCTGGTGAGCGACTCCAGCTGCCCTGTCTCCTGGCCTCTGCCCCTCTGTAACTGAACCTTGTTCTAGTCACAGAACAGTTACCACCCCTCTCCCAGCCCCTCCCAGAGACCACCTGCTATGTTCCAGGTTGGGGGGAGTTGGCACCACAAATTGATGGTCAGACCTGGGCTGAGCGGGCACTTCGAGAGAATGAGCGCCATGCCTTCACCTGCCGGGTGGCAGGGGGCCCTGGCATGCCCCGATTGGCCTGGTACCTGAATGGGCAGCTGCAGGAGGCCACCACCTCAAGACTGCTGAGCGTGGGCGGGGAGGCCTTTTCTGGAGGCACCAGCATCTTTACTGTCACTGCCCAGAGGGCCCAACATGAGCTCAACTGCTCCCTGCAGGACCCAGGCAGTGGCCAGTCAGCCAATGCCTCTGTCATCCTCAACGTGCAATGTGAGTATCCCTGATGTCAGCAGGGAGAGAGGGTCCTGGAACCCCAGCAGCCATGGGACAGGTGTTCAGTGGAACTTTTTGTTGTTTTCTTTTGTTTTTTCTTTTTGAGACAGTTCTCACTACTTAACCCAGGCTGGCCTCAAATTCCAGATCCTCCTACCTCAGCTTCCCATGTGCTCAGATTACAGGTGTGTGCTGGCTTTAGCAGGACATTTAATAAACACTTAAACACTTTATAAATAATAACTTACTTTATCCTCACAATAACCTTAGGAGGGAATTGCTAGTTCTATTCCCATTTTACATATGAGAAAACTGAGGCACAAAGAGGTTAAACAATCTGCTCAAGGTCATACAGGGGGTAAGAAGCAGAGCCAAGATGCAAACCCAGACACTGGCTGGATTTATATTCTTTGTGTGTGTGTGTGTGTGTGTGTGTGTGTGTGTTACTGGGGATTGAACTCAGGACTTTGCACTTGCCAGGCAGGTGCTTTACCACTTAAGCTATGTCGCCAGTGCCTGGATTTATACTCTTAATTGTCACTGTGAAATGCTGCAGTGTCCCCTCAGGAGAGGTTCAGGCCCCTTGTTCCTACCCAGGTTTGAGAAGAAAGGGCAAGAATAAAAGGGGCCATAGGGATTGCTTACTGTTCTCTGCTCTGCACTAGTTAAGCCGGAGATTGCCCAGGTTGGGGCCAAGTACCAGGAATCTCAAGCCCCAGGCATTCTGGTTGTCCTGTTTGCCTTGGTGCGTGCCAATCCACCTGCCAACGTCACCTGGATAGACCAGGATGGGCCAGTGACCGTCAACACCTCTGACTTCCTGGTGCTGGATGCTCAGAACTATCCCTGGCTCACCAACCACACAGTGCAGCTGCAGCTCCGCAGCCTGGCACACAATCTCTCCGTGGTGGCCACCAATGATGTGGGTGTCACGAGTGCCTCACTTCCAGCTCCAGGTGAGCAACAGTAGCAACTTTCCCAGGAAACCCTCAGTTAGGCCCAGGGATCATGGTACAGAAATGGGAGGACTTGTTGCCCATTGGGTCTTGTGATTGACTGTCCCCACCCCCTTGGGCATGGAGGACAAAGTAGTTCATCCTGTGACATGTCATATTGGGGGTACTGCCCACTTGGAAACTAACCAGTAGCCAACCTGCAGGGCTCCTGGCCACCCGGGTGGAAGTGCCACTGCTTGGCATCGTTGTGGCTGGAGGGCTTGCCCTGGGCACCCTAGTGGGGTTCAGCACCTTGGTGGCCTGCCTGGTCTGCAGAAAAGAGAAGAAGATCAAAGGTAGGGCCAGGGGTGTTGGGGACAGAGGATGGCTGGAAGGGTGACAGTGAGGTTGGAGGATGAGCAGCAAGGGTGGCAAGCAGAACTGGGCAGAGCAGATCAACTGTGTTCTGAGGGCCAGCATTGGGCATTTGAGAGACTCCTTGCCTGAAGGTCTCAGATCTGAAAGGGCAGGGGGCAGAGCCCAGTGTGGCAGGCACTCTTGACTCACTGGCATGGTTTCTTTGTCCTATCAGGCCCCTCCCGACGTCCATCTCTAATCTCTAGGTAACTCTTCCTGGGGCTGGGTGGATGGGCTCAGCTAAAATGCAGGCTGGGGACACAGGTTTCTGGGAGGTCTGCAATGGGCCTTAAAGCAGGACCCTCTGCCTATTGGTGCAAGGGCTTATCTCAGCCTGTGTCCATCCTACAGTGACTCCAACAACCTGAAACTCAACAACGTGCGCCTGCCACGGGAAAACATGTCCCTTCCTTCCAACCTTCAGCTCAGTGACCTCACTCCAGATCCCAGAGGTAATCCAGGACCCTGCTGTTTGCCTGTGCCTTATCTGAGAAAAAGAGAGGCCCTGGTACCTAGGAGAGGCTAGGCCCCATCAGACACAGCCCTTGTCCTGGGCACCACCCCCTTTGTCATCCACCAGGGAAACCAGTAGACCGACCAATGGCTCGGAACAGCAGCCGGCCGGAGCTTCTGGAACCTGAGCCTGGGGGCCTCCTCACCAGCCGAGGTACTGGGGAAGGGCCTGCTGCTTTCTCCTCTGTGCCCAGCCTTGTGCTTGTGCCAAAGGCCTCTGAGTGCCAATGGGCAGAGAGGGCTCCCTCAGGTTCCAAGGAACAAGGGTTACTGAGCCCCCTGGGGACCTTTGATCCTGCAGGCTTCATCCGCCTCCCAATGCTGGGCTATATCTATCGAGTGTCCAGTGTGAGCAGTGATGAAATCTGGCTCTGAACTGAGGGTGAGATAGGAGGGCCCCTGTGGCTCCTGCACATCCCTGAACAGTCTGCCCCCCACTTCTCCAAGTCATCCTTTGCCTGGCCATGCAGCCAACACGAAAAGGCCATGCCACTGCCACCTGCTAGCCCTCCTGGCTGGGGTACCCTGTGGACAATGCATGAGGCATTTCACTGGAATTGGGCCACAAGGCGCAGATATCCTTGGCAAGGTGCCAGCTAGAACTAAGTCCTTGTGCTTAGAGTGGAAGTCTGCATGTGATGACTGGGCCCAGGCAGGTGGACTCTTTGGCCAGCTGTGTTCAGGAGTCACCCAACATTCAAGCGTACTCAGCACCTTGTACCGTAGGCATGAGGGCTGACTGCCTGGGGGACAGGGAGGGCCTTGCACGTCTCAGATGTCCTTCCTATGTTATGCAGCTTTGTTCCCTCAGGGAAAATTTAGTCCCCTGCTAGCAAAATAGAACCAAACTGTCCTTTCAACAGAAGCCAGTCCCTGGCCAAGCACAAACAAGTCCCCTTTGCCATATACCTCTCTGCTCCTTTTCCCCTGCCTCCTCTAGGGCATTATAGTTTATACACTGGACCTTCTCCACTTCTTCACCAGACACTAGGCTTCCCCTGACCTTCCTGTGGTGCCAGGGCCTGCTACTAGCACAAGTCAGGGAGGAAGAGAGAAGTACCCAGGATAGCATGTAGCTATGCATCTTTTTTTTTTTTTTTTTTTTAGTGTCAGCACTTTAAACACATCCCCCTAGAGAAGGCGATAAGGAAGGGCCCAGAGCCCTCTTGGCTTTCCCAAGTTTGGCCTTCTGTGATTCACTGTGAGTGTCCTGATGGTTTCTCTCTCAGTATCTCTCCCCCTCAGGACTCCAGCTCTGACCAGCCCTTGGCTGCCCCATCAGCTACTTGTCCTGCCCCATCCTATTCTTTAGGGGTTGTCACAACAGGCACATGGTTCAACAGTGCCAGAAGATTTAGAGGGACATGGAAAAAGAGGGAGACCAATACCCCAAAACGACCTAAGAATGCAACATGAAATAGATTAGAAATTAATGGAGTGCAGAGTATATTTTCCTCTTGTTGAGATCCTGTTTTGTAATTTTCCTCACATTACTGCCTAAGACAGTGCTGAGCACACAATAAACTTAATAAACTTGACCTAATGAATATGTCTGTATTTCATTCCTCCAGATGTTTTTAGGTTTATCTTTTTAAAATCAATTTATCAATTTTTTCAGTTTATTTTTTTTCTATTGCTGGGGATTAAACCCAGGGCCTGGTGCATGCTGAGCAAAAGCTCTACCACTGAGCTATATTCCCAGCCCTTAAATGACATCTTTAAATCACACAGAGAAAGTACAGCAAGCACCTGTGTGCCTACTGGGAGCAATAAATAGCTCAGCGTGTTTGCAATGACTATAGAACATAACCAACATAAGAGAATTGGCAACCCAAGAAGGCAACTGCTCCCTGAAAACCTAATGGAACATTTGAGTTCATATCAAATTGTGCCTCTCTTCACTCTCTGAGTTAAACAGGTGCATGAAGGGTACATGGAGAGCAGGGCCTGGCTCGATGTGGTGCCACAGCGAGGCTCACCTACACACAGTGTGATCATGGTTGGTTTGAGTTTACAAGCAACAATCCCTCTCTTGTCTGTGTGCTCACTGTATATATATTAGGCTGGCAATGTAGCATTTTAATGTAATCTTCCCCTTGAGTCATTACACCCCTTCCTCCCCTATCTGTATTTTGTTCCATTATCTGCTCAGGTGCTCAAGCCAAAAGCACCTGGGAGTCATCCTTGATCTGTCCTTCCATCCCCCACATTCAGTGTTACCACCAAGTCCTGTTGCTTCTATTACTGGTAGTCATTTATCTGTTGTCTCTCAGTAAGAAACAAGAATCTGAGCAGAAAGACCCTGCAGTGTCCCCACCAGTCCACAGCACTGGATCACCCACACTGGGTCCATGCTTCCATCATCCTGTGTGATGAAGTCTCCATAAGAACCCAGGAGGACAGGGGTCAGGGGCTTCCAGAGAGCTAAATTACACTCCTGCTTGTGCTTTTTTTTTTCCTTTTTGGTGGACTGGGGTTTGAACTCAGAGCTTTGTGCCTGCAAAGCCAGCATGCTACTGCTTGAGCCATTATCTCCAGCTCCTGCTTGTGCTTTATACTACTGGATTCTCCAGTCCTTGTCTGCTGCTCACTTCTACCAGCAAGGCGGGAGAAAGGAGGGAGTAGCCCTTGCTCAGTCCTTGCAGTGATGGGAGTGAGGGTCAGCCATCTTTGGTGGGAGGGCCAGCCCCTTCAAGACCTGGCCACAGCAGACCTTCACCAACAGTGCCTGCCCTGGATACTTCAGTGTGCCTTCAAAACCCTCCATCTCCCTTCTCCTTCAGAACCTTCTAACACTTTTATAACCGACTTCCCAAACTGAGCACCCTTTGTGAGCTACAACTAGCCTTGCTCAAGTTTCCTGACTGGAGCATGGGTCATGTGACTTCAGAATATTCCTCAAGTCTGTCCATCTCCACCACCACCACCACCACCACCCTACTCAAGCTACAGTCATTTCCACCTGGGTTACTGCAACAGCCAGGCTCGCTGGACACACCAGTCAGGTCTGGAGCTAGATAGGCAGGTGGTCTGTAAAGAAGGCAGCACTCCCTGAAGAGAGACCCTTAGAATATTAAATTCCATAAGAAAAATGGTTCTCTCAAGAAAGCAATCAGTTCTCCAGCAAGGGACACCCACTAGATGTCCCGTAAAGGATGATCGAAGCATGGACAGTGTGTTGAAATGTGATTGAAAAACAGTGTGATCCAGTGCTGTGGACTGGTGGGGACGCCATAGGCCTGTCTGCTCAAATTCCTCAGTATTTCTTCCTTGCTAGTAGGGGGCAGGACCCCTTCTAAAATGGAGGTCTTAATACCTACTACCAGACAAAGTAGTTCAAAGAATTTAAGATTAAATGCCCATGTCTTACCTTGGGGAAGAGAAATACAATTTCTATGGCCTGCTTTGGGGAGAAAAAGGAACAGGTGAAAGGAAGGAGGGCAGAAGGTCAGAGAGAGAAAGAAAAAGAGCACCCGACTTTCTGAGAGCTGTTTTGTTTTTTTTTTTTTTTTTTAGTCAGGGTTTATGCTGCCCAGGCTGGCCTTGAACTGCAATCCTTCTGCCTTGGCCTCCTGAGTGCTGGGATTATAGATATGCACCACTCAGCCCAGCTCTGAAGCCTGTTTTTGAGACCTAAAACTCCCCTCCCCCAATATTATTCTAATCACTTAGGAAATAATAAAAGAAATGGGAGTAATGAGCAGGATCTATGGACAAAAACCAAAAATTTCTATCACATCACAACCTGACAGAACATTTTATTTGTAAAACCCGTGCCAACTAACTTTAAAAATGAAAGAAAGTAATTTCATCCTTATCCCCCAAAAGAACACCTTTTAATCTTTCCTCCCAGCCCATGCTCTGTGGGGTCTCAGCAATCCAAATCTGACTCAAGTCCTTGCAGTGGTAGGTCCCAGCTCCTCTGAGACAGGACAAGCCGGTTGGCAGGTTAGTGAATGTGTGACATGCTGTGACAGACAGGAAGCAAGATTCACTGCCTTAGCCCAGGTGCCCAGCAGCTGACAAGGTGGCTGATAAGAATCCCTGGGTCTCAGCCTTGAAGGAGAGCTCTGGAAGGGGTCTCAGCTGAGGGTCAGGGTCTCTGCGTCACCTACTTGGGAGGTAGAGTTGGATGGAGGGGTGAATGCTTTCTTGCCTTCAGCGAGAGCTTTAAAATGCTGCCAGAAAGGGGGAGAGGGAACACAAAGTATTTGGGATATGCTAGTTGCTATATTTTAACAATAACTAGCTTTTTAAAAATCCCTTTAAGTTCCAATTTTCTCCCAATTCTGCTGGTGCTGTCTTTGAAAAATGACTAGAAGTTTGTGTCATCTCCTTTGAAAATTAACCTTTTTACTTCCCACTCCCATCATTGGGCTCTGTGATTCTCCTGTAAGCCTGTCTCCTCAGGAGAGCCTCACCGAGTGCACCTGATGCCCACAGCCCTGTTACTTCTCCACCCTGCCTCCTGCTGCTGGCTTAACCCTGGGATAGGGCAACTCCAAGCAGGGACATCCTCCACTGCCACAGGACACAACCACAGCAGGCCCAGGACAGTGGACAGTGAGGTGATCCTCACTACAACCTAAGGAACCCCTGATGCTCGTCCTACCTGTGAGTTCTTGAATTCTGAGTAGAGAGAAAAGAGCAGGTGGAGGGACTGAACCCGACTCTTGTAGACAGGGATGTCTAGGATGGCTGAAACAAAAAACAACTCCCAGGAACAGAACCAAATAAGCTCTGAGACTAAGGGGACATTTCTGTTTAGGACAGCCAACTCCCTCCCAAATGGGACATGATACTATGACCTGATGGTTAAATACTCCCCAACTAGTCAGTAAGCCTGAATGCCGCCCCTGAAGGTTGCCACAAAACACGGCTGGCCTAAAGAAGGCTGTAAGCCAAACACACTCTCCTGCCAGAGTCAGCAAGCCCCTCCAAAGGCCTAGAACATAGCCACCCACAGACCGGGCAGGGGAAGGGGAAGGGCGTTTACCACAGATCATGTCAATGTACTCAGCCAGGCTGCAATCGATCTCGGCTGTGGGCAGGCTCACCTGGAAGGAGGGAATGGGCCACAGTCAAAAGGGGGCCCAGTACCACTCTCTGAAGAAAAACAGCTCCAAGCACAACACATGCATTATGGCCAAATTGTGTTCCTCCCAAATTCCTATTATAGGGTCCTAACCCCATGCACCTCAGAATGTCACTGCATTTAGAGATGGGTCTTTATAGACAGAATTAAGTGAAAATGAGGTCATTAAATAAGGATATTCAAGGACTGATATCCTTACAAGAGATCAAGACACAGAGACATACAGATGGGAGACTGTGAAGACACGGAGAGACAATGGCAAAGAAAGGCCCTGTAAGAAATCAGCCCTGCCAACCTGCTTTTGGACTTCTTACAGTTCTCCAGAAATGTCTGTTGTTTAAGTCACTCAGGCTGTGGTACTTGGTTACAGCAGCAAGTAGCAAACTACTACAACATGCCCTGCCCAGCCCATCAGTAAGATGGAATTAGTCATCCTAAATGAGTACGATGTAAATGACTACCAAAGTCTCGGATGACCCATCAGGACCAAAAGATTTTAAAGGTAAAATATACTGCTTGGCCATCTTCTAGTGTATACTCTGAAGAACAGACTGCTTCCAGGCTCATGTTCACGTATTCAGCGACTTGGTGTTGCAATGCTAAAGGTCCTAGGATACCACAGCAGCAGCGAAAATGGACCTAGAGGACCTCGTCAGGTGACTGGCTTTGGAGTTAAATAAGTCACATTGGTTTCTTAAAACTTTTTTCCTCACTAGAGAAATGGCACAAGCAACAGAGCATCTGCTTAGAAAAATCTGTTATTAGTCAGCCATAGTGGTGGGTACTGTGGCCACAGCTACTCAGAAGGTTGAGGCAGGAGGATCAGAGCCCAGGAGTTCTAGGACAGTTTGGGCAACACAGTGAGACCCTGTCTCAACAACCACAATGCATGTCACACTCTCACCACCTGCTACTTTCCACTCACCTTGCCCAAAAGCTCTTCAAACTCTGGGGACCATTCCTGCATCAGGGTGTCAATATCAGGCATGGGCCTACAAGACAGAGGAGAAAACAGACTGATGGTGTCAGCAACCTCAGGATCAGGACAGTCTAGGTGAAGGAGAGGTCCTCACTTGGGCACATTAGGACTTTAGGAGAACCCCGATTACCCAGGGCCTGGGGTTTGGGGTGCTAGCTAAACAATGATAGAAGATTTTTTTTTTTTTTTTTTTTTGGTGGTACTGGGGTTTGAACTCAGGGCCTCACACTTGCTAGGCAGGCACTCTACCACTTGAGCCATTCAGCCAGCCCACAAATCTTGATCTTTATTCCTGTAATCCATGCCAGCAGCTGCCAACTTTTCCATTTCTAAAAAGTGTGGTGAAAATGTACTTTTTTCAAGACCTGGGGCTGACCAAATTTGTCCCCTGGCTTTGGGCCTCTCTTCAGGAGTAATGGTTCATAGGTAGTGGATGTACTAAGGATTACTGTAGTGTGGTAAAGAATGTGGTAGCTTTGCAGGACATAATGGTGCATGCCTGTAATCTCAGCACCTGGGAGGCTGCAGACAGGAGGACTGTAAGTTCAGGACCAGGCTGGGCTAAAAAAAGGAGCCAGGTGCTGGTGGCTCATGCCTGTAATCCTAGCTACTCAGGAGGCAGAGATCAGGAGGATGGTGGTCCCAGGCCAGCCTCAGTTTGAGGCCCTATCTCAAAAACACCATCACAAAAAAGGGCTGGTACAGTGGCTCAAGTAGTAGAGTGCCTGCCTAGGAAATTTGAGGCTGAGTTCAAACTCTAGTACCACCAAAAAAAAAAAAAAGAGGGGTTGGGAACTTAGCTTAGTGGTAGAGCTCTTGCCTAGTATGTATGAGACCCCTGGGTTCAATCCCCAGCACTGAAAAAAAAAAAGAATGTGGTATTTCTTACCTGGTGTAGTGCACAGTTGCAGGGGGCTTAGAACGGTGTAACTCAGAGATGCTCTCAATCCAGGTGTCGATAGCTTTTGGATTCTTTTCTGCATTTTCTAGACTCTTTACTTTCATATGTTGCTAGAAATTAAAGGGAAAGCTGATAGCACTGAAGTAGTTTGTGTTTTTACATCACATCTGTGCTGTTGCACGTTGTGAGGTGGCTGATGAACAGGGATGGCTGCAAGCAGCCACATGAGGATCAGAGAAACTGCTGCAGTTTGGGTCGCAAGTGTCCCCCAGAGGTCCATGCAATGAGGGCTGTTCTCCAGAGTGGAGCTACTGGAAGGTGATGAAACCTTTAAGAGGTGGGTCCTCCCCAAAAAAAGAGATGGGCCAAAATGGGAGGTCTTTAAGTCATGAGAAGCATGCCCCAAGGAGATTAGGGGATCCGGTATCTTCCTTTTCCTTTTCTGCTCCCTGGTCATGAGGTGAGTGGTTTGCCCAATCATGCACTTCTGCCTTGGTGTGCTGACTTGTAATACACCCAAAACAATGGGGCCAATCAATTACTGCCTGTTAACCAAAATGAACCTTTTTGCTTCTTTTCCAGTACTGAGCTTTGAACTCAGGGCCTTATGGTTGCTAGGCATGTGCTCTACCACTTGAGCCACACCTTAAAGAGAAAAGCCAACCTTTTCTCTTTATAAGCTGATTAGCTCAGGTGTGTGTGTGTGTGTGTGTGTGTGTGTGTGTGTGTGTGGTGGGACTGGGGTTTGAACTCAGGGCTCTGTACTTTCTAGCGAGGCAGGTGCTCGACTTGAGCCACACTTGCAGTCCTACCTCAGGCATTTGTTATAGTGACACATCACTTACTGATACAGAAATCCTGATAAAACTTGTTGTTGGGGCCATGGGAAGGGGGCAGGTCACTAGAGCAGGACAGATCACACTGACATGCCATTTCAGTGCCATTACTAGATGGCTAGAATTAAAAAGGCAGACAATAACAAGTGTTGATGAGGCTATGGACAAAGTGACACTCATTCATTGATGATGGGGAAGTAAAATGGTACTGCTACTTTGGAAAAATTTTGCAGTTCCTTAGAATGTTATACACCAAGTTACTGCATAGCCCTGCAACCCCACTTCCCTATGTACATACAGGGGAAATGACAGCATGTCCCACGCAGAAACCCAACGTGAATGTTCACAGCAACTTTGTTAATAAAAGTTGAAACAACCGATGGATGAACAAAATATGGTGATCTACACAAAGGAATATTATTCAGCCATAAAAAGGGATGGAGCAGTTACTAAAGGTTTGGAGAAAGGGAGAATAGGTACAGGGCTTCTTTCTGGAGTGATGAAATAAGATAATGAATAAATAAGATAATGATGAAGGGCTGAGGACAAAGCTGAATGATAGAGTACTTGCCTAACGTGCATAAGGCCCTGGGTTGATCTCCATCACCAGACAAAAAATTTTAGATAGTGACAATGATACTACAATCCTGTTAACATACTAAAAATGAATGAACTGTCTAATCTAAAAGGATTAATCTTAAGGTATGTAAATTAAATGTCAACAAAGCTATCATTGAAAGATTGGCCAGTACCAGTGGCTCATGGCTGTAATCCCAGGTACCAGGGAGGCAGAGATCAGGAGGATTACTATTCCAAGCCAGCTCTAGGCAAATAGTTCGGTAGACCCTATCTAGAAAAAAACGCAACATAAAAAAGGGATGGCAGCGTGGCTTAAGTGGTAGAGTGCCTGCCTAGCAAACATGAGTTCAAACCCCAGTACTGCCAAAAAAAGAGAAAGAAAGATTGAGCTGGCCTCAAGCCACACCCATCCCTTTTGATAGGCAGCAGGGGACGATGCAAATGCCAGGGAGGCCTCTGCTCTGGCTCGCTTGCTCCAGCCTCTTACTGTAATGTTGTGTTGCTTGGAATTCTCCGTTAACCACAGTGAAAGCACTGTAGGGTCTGACTGTTTTGTAGACGGTTCATCCAACACCAACAGGCCAAGGTTGTCAGGTTTTCCATCAGGGCGTGGAGCCTGATTAAGAAAAAGAAAAGAGAGCAGAGAGAAGAATAGGGGCCATAACAAACCATCCATTCCTGCTATTTCCAGCAAGCTCAAAGGAGAAGTCTTCTGCTTCCTGGTTATTTCTAGTATTAAGACTCATGCTTGCTTTTCACACTGGACTAACACTATCTAGAAAAAACAGGATCTAAGGGAGCTTAAACACATAGCTAAATTCATGGATAACAGGAGACAAATACATGACCGTATTTTAATATATGATGAGATAACGAAGTGTTACTTAACAGTAGTGATTATAATTTGGAGATGTGAGCAATGTTAAGAACTGCAATGAACTGAGCACTATTCATTAAGACAGCTAATGCTGGAAGTGTTAGAACAGCAGGGTCACAACCAACACCCACGGGGCCATTTTTAGGTTGCACCATCTGTACCTTTAAGAATGCATCAATATCCCCAACAGCCGGGATAAAGTCAGGAATAAACGGTTTCAGTTTGTGGTCCAGGTCAATCAGCTGAGGTGTATACCTAGAAGGTATTGCCAAGGGGAAGGTGGAGGCAGTCAGAGAGTTGCATTACTATTCAGGCTGAAAAAAAAAATCTACAGACATGGCCTTGTTTCAGATTAGAGAGGGAGAGATTTGGGCAAGGCAGGTGCAGAGGGTTCAGTGGGAGGTCCTCACTCTCACCTACTAATGTACTGGAAGAGCTCCTTAATCTCAGCAGAAACTGGCAAGTGCTCATAGTCTGCAGGATCGTAAGCCCTGGGGAAGGAGAACACAGGTAAGTCAAGTGCATGACAACAGTGGAGGTGCGGAGCTCTGAGTCAGCGTGTTATTCTGACACAGGGAGAGACCCTGACCCTGGCTTCTTCACCTGCCACACCTGCCTTTTCTGCTGGCTGCACAGCAGCTTTAAAGTGGATGGTAGTTCTCAGTTATCTCTGACATGGAAGACAAAGTTGTAGAAAATCCAAAACATCTTAAACTGTAGCATTAATTGCTTTCTTATATGAAAGGGATGATGAAAAAAGGTTAAAGGTGAAACAAGGTCTTTTTCTTTTCCTTGGTGGTGCTGGGGATTGAATCCATAGCCTCACACATACAATAGCGAAGCTACACCCCCAACCCCAAGATTTTAATTTCGGACATAAAAGATAGTTTGCACCAGAAAGAAAAGGAATTTTTTTTAAGGCACTGGGGTTTGACTCAGGGCTTCACACTTGTAGGCACAATCTACCACTTGAGCCACTCTTCCAACCCTTTTTGTTTTAGTCATTTTTCAAGAGGATTTTGCATTTTTTTTGCGTGGGCTTGATCCTCCTACTTGCATATCACTTGCGTCAGAGCTGAGAGTATACGCATGAACTCAGCTTTTTTTTTTTTTTTGTGGTACTGGGGCTTGAACTCAGGGCTCTAACCTGGAGTCACTCCGCCAGCCCTTTTTGTGAAGGGTTTTTCAAGATAGGGTCTTGCAAACTATTTTCCCAGGCTGGCTTTGAACCATGATCCTCCGATCTCTGCCTCCTGAGTAGCTAGGATTACAGCGGGTGTGAGCCACCAGCACCTGGCCACACTCAACTTTTTGTTGAGATGGAGTCCTGCTAACTTTTTGCCTGGGATGGCCTCAAACCTCGATCCTCCTTATCTTCAGGATTACAGGCATGAGCTATGGTGCCCAGCTGCAGAAATGTTTTTAAAAGTGTTATTTATAAAAGTAAAAAATTTCCAGGCCCAGTGGCTCACACCTGTAAATTCTAGCTACTCAGGAGGCAGAGATCAAGAGGACTGTGGTTCGAAGCCAGTCCAGGCAAAAAGTTTGAGAGACCCTATCTCAAAAAAACCCAACACAAGAGTTTGGTTGAGGCTGCAAATTTGGTCGTTTGTTTTCTAAGAACCCTACTTCCACCGCCGCTGATAATGCAGATCTTCATGAAGACCCTGATTGGCAAGACCATCATCCTGGAGGTGGAGCCCAGTGACACCATCGAGAATGTCAAGGCAAAGATCCAGGACAAGGAAGGCATCCTCCCTGATCTGCAGAAGTTGATCTTTGTGGGCAAGCAGCTGGAAGATGGCCACACCCTGTCTGATTACAACACCCAGAAAGGGTCCACCCTGCACTTGGTCCTGTGCTTGAGGGGAGGTTTCTAAATTTCCCCTTTATTTTAAGCTTTTGACAAGTTTCATTGCATGCTTCTTTCAATAAAGTTCTTGCATTCCAAAAACAAACAAACAAACAAAAAAACCCAACACAAAAAAGGGGATGGTGGAATGATTCAAGGTCTAGGCCCTGAGTTCAAGCCCCAGCACCACAAAAAAAAAAAAAAAGTACTTTGGTCTGGGGATGTGGCTCAGTGGTACAGAGCTTGTCCAGTACACATGAGGATCTAAGTTCAATCTCCAGCACTACCAAAAAAAAGGTACTTGCATAGATATATGAAAAATACAAGCTGAGCCTGTAATACCAGTACCCAGTACCCTGCAGAGACAGGAGGATCTTGAGTCTGAGGCCAGCCTAGCTACATAGCCTGTCTCAAAAAACCAAGGTCTAAGCCAGGTGCCAGTGGCTTACACTGTAATTCTAGCTACTTGGGAGGCTGAGATCCAGAGGACTGTGGTTCGAGGCCAGCCTGGGCAAAAAGTTAGTGAGTGCCCATCTCAACCAACAGCTGGGTGTGGTGCACACACCTGTCATCCTAGCCATAGGGGGAAGCATAAAACATAATGTGGTCCTGGCTGGCTTGGACAAAAAGCAAGAATGCTTGAAAATAACCAGAGCAAAAAGGGCTAGAGGTGTGGCTCAAGTGGGTAGAATTCCTGCTGAGCACCAAGTCCTAAGTTCAAACCCCTGCCACCAAAAAAATGTGCTGGGAATGTAGCTCAGTAGTAGAGTGCTTGTCTAGCAATATGCAAGGCCCTGGGTTTGATTGCCAGCACTACAAAAATAAGTAAATAAATTAAATAAATGTGCACTCTGAAAAGTTACATCCCCTTGTCACCAAGTTCTTTTCTTAATCAGTCTTCCTACTTTCCAGTGTACCTTCCAGAGATAGTCCCTATAATGCTTGCTGTATACACATGGGAGCATGGCCTGAAGACTCTTCTATATGTTTCTAAAATTTCACAGCATCTCTCGTTCTTGACCAGCATAGAGAGTGGCTGTATACTTAAGGACTACACAGAATTGTACTGATTGGCTATCCCATCACTTATTTAGCTAGTAATTCTGATCTACTGACTGAGTAGGGAGTGTCTCACTATGGTGCCTAGGCTGGCCTCGAACTCCTGGACTCAAAGATATCCTCCTGCCTTAGCTGTCCAAGTGGCTGGGACTGTAGGCATGTCCCACAGCACATGGCTAATCATCACTGTCTGTTCATTTGAGCCCAGGGCCTTGCAAATACTAGATGAGTGCTCTAACACTGAGCTATGTCCCCAGCCCTAGAAACTGTGTTTAAACTGACTGTCTTTCGAGTCCATCTTGATTGAAATCTATGGAGATGGCTCACACTAATGCAGCACCAGGTTTGGAAGAGGGTGACAGTTTCCACTTCAGCGTCATCAAGGGACACTTTGCCTGGATGTGGAGCTCCTGAAGCTCCTTCTCTCTGCTACCCTAGAAAAGAGCTGAGCCTAAAATGGAAACACTTGTGTTCATGCACAGTTTTCCTCACTGAACAGAAATGCTTTGGGATGTGTACAAATTTATCTCCTCTTTCCCAGACTGTAAGCTCCTTGAAGGCAGGGGCCATCAACTAGGTTTCCTAGGCAAAGTCTTATGTAATCCCTGAGCTCACAAATGTTTCAAATGGTTTAAGTGACACTGCAGGACTGGATGAGGCAGAGGAGCCAGAAGAGAATGAAAACTCATTACAGTGGGTTTCTAGACATGAGAAAATCCTAACTACAGACCATCAAGAAAGATTCTACTGTGTTGCTTCTAACTGATGTCCTCCCAGCCCATTATCCTGAAGACATTTTCTTCCTTGGTAGGGGTCCTTCCTACCCTTCCAGAGGGGCCCCATGCTCTTCATCATCGTCGTCTTCATCAGAATCAGTTTCAGATGAGTCGTCATCATCATCATTTTCACTGAAGCCCCGCTGAGATGTCAACTGTGAGGACTTCTTCTCCTGGAACAGGGCAGGGCAGGCAGAGAAAGGTGAATACAAATAGAAATTTAATGCAGAGGCCCAGCTGTGACTTGTTCTAACCAGTACCCACCTCCCACAGACACGTGACACCTACCCACCAGAAAGAGAAGGTAATGCAGCCCAGAGGGGGCCTGAGAGCCTTCAGCTCCTGCTCAGCTACAAACTGGGCCCCCACTTTATAGAACCATATCCCACTACTGGAAACTGAGGTATGAAAGTCTACCCAATTTACACCTATTGTACCTATTACTTGGGAAATCCTGAGAACTCTGCATAAACTTTATCTAGACAGATTCAACCCTAAAATTTTGGGACTTTCCAAGAAAAGAATGGCAACTCTAAATGATTTTTTTTTTGGAAGAGACAAGGAAAGATAATGTGGAGAAAACAAACTTTAGAGAATCTTAATACTCAGAAAGATCAAAGAGAAATCTAGCATTTAATTTGCAAGACTTCCTAGGTAAGCTGTTTGAAAAAAAAATCAAAAGAAAGCACACAGGCTGGTGAAGTGCCTCAAGTGGTAAAGCACCTGCCTATCAAGTGCAAGACCAAAAAAAAAAAAAAGAGAGAGAGAGAGAAAAGAAAGTGCAAAGTACATATGAACACTGAATTCTAACCAGCATTCCAGAGACTCAGGGGTTTTCCATTTTTTGGCTCAATGATATTTCTCTTCATGGGGTATGTGACCTATCTGTATTTCCCTTCCCTTCTCCATGACCTAAATGCAATGACTATCCATCCTGGCTCAAGATGAGGGCTGCATTCTTGGCATTAAATCCTACCTTTCTTAGCTTCTGGCTATCTGTGTAGTGTCCCACCCTCCCGTCTATGAGAAGACAGCTGGTGGGTGTGTGGGACTTGCAGAGGTACTTAGGATGAGGTCTATGTTTTTGCTTCTGTGGCCTGGAACCAATGGCATGTCACCATTGGCCATTGGATGACCAACTGGCGCCCTTTAAATGTAAGTTTTGAAAGCTTGCTTTCCAAATGCCATATAGAGGTTCCAGCTTTTTAAAAATTATTTCATTTATTGTTTAAATTATTTAATGTTTTTAAATTGTTTAAATTATTGAGTGTTTTATTTAATGCTTCACTTTTAAATTATTAAATGTAATGCTTCATAGTAAAAGGAGATATTGGTACTTAAAATTACGACACATCACAGAACAACAAAAAACGTTTTTGAAGCTGAGTGTGATGTTGCACCTCAGCATTTGGGAGACTAAGGCAGGAAGATCATGAGTTCAAGGCCAGCCTGGCTATACAGAAAGGCTCTGTCTCAAAAAAAAGTGTGTATGTATGTATATGTGTGTATGTGCACATACATGTGTCTACATATATACATATTTTCTAGCTTATCTGTAATATTTATAACAAATTACACATGGATATAGACTTTATTCAATGACTATATCTTACTGATATGCAATTGATGAGAACTTTCTTGAGTATTTTTCTCAACTCAACATGTGCCAAAATTATCCTTAGTTTTAGAATAGTTTTGGCAAATGGAACTTTTAAGAATACTGATTGGCAGAGTGGCTCAAGTGGTAAAGTACCTCCCTAGCAAGATTGAACCCCTGAGTTCAAATCCCCCAGTACCACAAAAAAAAAAAAAAAAAAAGCGAAAAACCAAACAACAACAAAGAATACTGATTGTCAATTGAAAGAGTATTCAAAAGTAGATGGTTTCTGCTGATTCTGGGTACACACTAAATTGAAACAATAAAGGAACCTGAACACTGACTACAATATTCAATGTATTCACAGTATAAAAACTATTAGACATTAAGGTGTATATACCAAATTTGGAGACCAACTTAGGAAAATTGTGCACTCTGGTCTCCCTTTTCACAGTTCTGCTTTGAGAAATCCACGATATAATAGCAGATGGCATGTATGCCATAGACAAATGCCTAAGAAGTTACCTCGTGTGTTTGGCAATAAAGGAGTGGAACCACCCTAAAACATCACCTCTTAAGTCTTTTTATAAAGTCAGTCTGTATCACTACAGCAGTTTAAATAGTCTCCTCAGTTCCAATTTTTTTTTTGTTTTGTCTTGGTAGTACTGGGGATTGAACTCAAGGCTTCACACTTGCTAGGCAGGCACTCTACCACTTGAGCCACACCTCCAGCCTTTTTTACTCTGGTTATTTTGGAGATAGGGTCTCACTTTTTGCCCACACCAGCTTGGACAGAGATCCTCCTATTTGTGCTTCTCACCACAGCTGGGATGACAGGCACACACTACCATACCCAGCACTTTTTTCCACTGAGATGAGGTCTCACAAACTTTTTTGCCTGGCCTGGCCTAGAACTGGAATCCTCCCGATCTTCCCAAATAGCCAGAATTATAGGCATGAGCCACAGGTGACCAGGTGTTTTTTGGTTTTTGTGGTACTGGGGATTGAACCCAGGGCCTCAGGCATGCTAGCCAAGTGTTCTACCACTGAACTACTCCCCAGCCCACTAAAGTTCATTCTGAAAGGACAATTGCAATGTAACCACTGCATTCCTGTTTTTGGTTCATAAGCATGATGATCGGGTGTTTCCATGACATGTGCCTCCTTGTCATGACATTGCATATTACCCATCTATGTGAAAAAAAGAAAATCAAATCTAACTCCTAGATCATGTGCTAAGACTGAGCACAAATGATGTCTAGGCATAGTGATTATGTGACTCTTGCTGGCTAGAGATTCAGGTATCTTCCATCTTTACTTCAGAAACAGGGTGATTCCCTAGTTTCATAGAATAACAAAACAGACACTAGTATCTTAAAACCTCAAAATTACAATCATTTTCACAAAATGTTGGCAGTATTACAAGTGTTGACAGTAAAAAAAAAAAAAAAAAAAACCTAGATCAATAGGTCCAAAATTGCACTAGCTTAAGAATCACTGGACTGCTTACTAAAAATATAAATGCTCAGTCTTCTACCTTTGAGATTCTGGGTGGGGACTGGAAATCTGTATTTTTAAAAATAAGTTTCCCAATTGATTCTTGTGATCAGTAAAGTTATGAAACACTAGCCCACTTTAGATGAAATTGTTCACCAAAAAGTCAGCTGTGATGGTAGACTTGCGTGGGGATGTGGTTTAGTAGTATTGTACTTATCTAGAATGCATGAGGCCTAGGTTTGATCCTCAAAAGCCCCCTCCCCACCAAAAAAAAGTAGGCTGTATTTCTGAAGAAGAGTCAAAATCTCAAAACCCTTTGCTCTTGGTTTTCCTTCATGAGCGCAGTTACCTACCCAACCACTGGCAGTGAGCATTAGTTCTTCTTAACTAACTACTAAACATCCAAAGCAGAAACACTGTAAGAAGCTGTGGGTTATACTGACCTTGTTATTTTCCTCTTCATACTCATCACTGCTGTTATCAGCCATAGTCTTGTCAGGAAGATGAGAGGAATGAGGAAACACTTAGAAGGAAAGTTTTCTGTTAAAATGTTTTCTTTTTTTTATTTTATCGCTTTTACATTTACTCACATATGTATACATTGTTTGGGTCACCTCCCCCTCCTACCCACTCCCACTTCTGGGCAGAAAGTTTAAATTACTTTTAAAAACAAATTTTTAGTTTATAACATTTTGTGCTTTAATCCTTTTTGGAACAGGGTTTCTAAGAACACCGAGGTAGACAATAGGAAACTGAATTCTAGTCTTGTGTTTAAGGCATTGGGCTAGATGCTATACTAATCAGTTACCTGCCATTACATAAATATAAACTACCCTTAGTGGTCCCATTGGTAAAATGAGGTGAGTGCTCAGTAAAGTAAAAAGAACACTGGATTCATAGTCAAAAAATTGGATTTGAAGTGCAGTTCTGTCACTTCAACAAAATGACTTAACCTCTGGAGTCTCAGTATTTCCACATCCAAATGGGTCAGAAATGTTTTTACCCAGACTATTCTAAGGATCAACAGAAAAACCTATGTGGAAGGAAGTGACCTAAAGGCTGGCAAATAGAAGGTAGTCACAAATTTGAATCAGTATCCATTAAGAGCAATAAAAAATATTTTGAACAATGAGAAGTATAATCAGATGTAAGATATTAGCTGGCACGAAAACATGTTAGATGACTTTTAAGTCAAATAAATGCAAATTAAACACCATTTTTTGGCTTACTAAATTAGCCAACTGAAAACAAGTTCCCTGCTGGCAAGAGTATAAACATGCTCAAGTTTAAAACCTGGTGGCTAGGTACACACAAAACAACTGAGAGCAGAGATTCAAAAAGACACTTGAACATCTCTGTACATAGCACTGTTCACAAAAGCCAAAAGGTGAAAATAACCCAAGTACCCATCAACGATGAAGGAATAAACAAAATGGTATATCCATTAATAGAGTGATATTCATCCATGAAAAGGAATAAAATTCTGACATATGCTACAGCATGAATGAACTAAAGGACAAATATAAGATTTTACTTATGAGGTACCCAAAACAGGCAAATTCATGGAGACAAAGCAGAAAAATAGTTACCATGGACTGGAAGTAAGAGAAGAATAGGGAGTCATTGTTTAATAGGCATAGTTTCTGTTGAGATGATAAAAAAGTTCTGTAAAAAATTAGAAATAAGGGCAAAATAGTTTCTGCTGGGTATTGGGGGGAGAGAGAGGGGGCGGAGTGGGTGGTAAGGGAGGGGGTGGGGGCAGGGGGGAGAAATGAACCAAGCCTTGTATGCACATATGAATAATAAAAGAAAAAGGAAAAAAAAAAAGTTCTGTAAACTGTGGTGATGGTTGCCCCACACTATGAATGTACTTACTACCATTTAATTTTACACTTAAAATGGCTAAAATGGTAAATTTTGTTGTTTATTTTACCATAATAAACAGACCAAAAACCTGAGTGTCGTCTTTGAACTCAGTGTCTCATGCTTGCAAGGCAGGCACTCTACCACTTGAGCCACTCTGGCAGTCCTTTATCAAGTCTTACTGATTCAATAACAACAATCTATCTTGTAGGGTAAGGTGCAGGAGGCTTACACCTGTAATCCTAGCTACTTGGGAGGCTGAGAGCTGGAGGATCATAGTTCAAGGCCAGCCTGGGCAAATAGTTCATGAGACCCTATCTCCAAAATAACCAGAGCAAAATGGACTTGAGGGATGGCTCAACACAGTAGAGCACCTGCTTTGCAAACGTGAAGCCAAGTTCAAACCTCAGCCCCCATCAAAAAAAAAAAAAAAAAAACCTATCTATACTTGCATCTTGTCTCTATTCTCGACTTCCTCAGCACAGTCCAACCCACTATCAACTCAACTCAGCCATTCCCACTGTCCTCCATTTGCTGCCCCATTTTCAATCTATTCCACATATTGTAGCAATACAGCCTCCAAAGCTCTGCTTGTTATGCCTCCTGCCTAACTCTCCAATCTGACCATACACCCTCTCCTATGTACTAGTCTCTTTCTCCTTAGTCCTCCCTCACCGCCCTATCAAAAACAGGTTACCCTCTTCACTATTATTTTCCACAACAGCAAACGATTTGCTTCCATCAATATATGTATAACATTTATATTTATGCTTGATAATTCATCGTTCATCTGTCTCCCATGATTGCAAGTATTAGGGTGACAAGAACAATGTGTCTTTTGTGTATATACCCAGTGTCAGGCATTAGGCTGGCATGGCACATACTGTGCATTCAAAAATGTTAGTTGAATAAACGAGTGGTATCAAGTCTTCTAGCAATATTCTGGTGAGATTCTGGTTGTGGTTGCAGGTTGAAGGCAGTTTATGAAGAATCTTCAAAACTGAACAAAACATAATTTGGATAAGCTAAAAACAAAACAAAACCCAGTGAACAGAGATTGCAGACTGTGAGTGGAGCAGTAACATGAAGTAAAAGGGTTGGACTGAAGGAAGATTCTGTAATGTGAAAAACTATGTTTTCTCCCTCTTTGACTAGTTAAGAGAACAAAGCCAGGCATGGTGGTACTCGCCTACAATGTCAACACTTGGGAGGCTGAGGCAGGAAGATTGTGAGTTCAAGGACAACCTGTCCTACATAAGGAGACCCTGTCTCACAAAAGGAAAAAGAAAACAGAAAGAAAGAAAAGTGCTTGACTCTGATTAAAAGTCAACATTTGCTGCTATAAATTAGGAGTTTGTTGAATATGAACATGAATTCATCCTGTTCTTTGCTTGGAGAACCATTTCCCTTCCTTCCTCTTCATTCTTCTCTTACCTTGGCCTGAGGTTGGAGTAAAAATACTTGCAACCTCTTCTGAGTCGTTAATGTCTATACGCTCATCGTATGTCTGGTTCTCAACAATCTTGGTCTAAGCAAAAGAAGATATGATTAATAGCTCATCTCGTGGGACAAACATTTAGCGCTCTACCGGGGAGATGCACAATAATTCAGCATGGATTCCTCTTCCTTATCCAAGACACAGTTTTACAGAAAACCTTCACCTCCATCCCAACTTTCCTCAAGCTTCTTGGCCCCATATCAAGCAGTTAAGCCATTCTGCTGTAACACTCATTTGGGAACCGGTGGCTGACTGGCTGACAGCAGGGAGAACTGTGAAGGGAAATGACAGCCAACTTCTCCAGCAACTCCCCAAAGATGTAAGACACACGAACCAGAGCAGAACAGCATTCCTAGGTAGATGGCAACTTCTTTCTCAGGTTCAGGCAATTTTCCCAAAGCTGCTGGGGCGGGGGTGGAAGACTGTCCCAAAGAGAAGATAAACCCCAGTCTCTCGGTGCCACCAATAATCCTAAAAGCATCACCCCCATCTCCATCCGTTGTGCAGATCGGATCTCACTTAAATTTCTTGGGAGTAAAGGAACCAGGACAGTTGGTGGTACGGTGTGGAAAGGTGACAAGAACAGTTGCCATGGAGACGGGAAGAAGCGTTGGAGAACACAGGCAAGAGGAAGGCGGGGTGAGAATGAATTACCTGTAGCCCCTCTGAATCCGTCTCCTCTATATGAAATGAGCCCCAGCCTAGGACTGGGGTCTCACTCCAACCTCTGGCAAAGAGACTTCAGGGATTGTACTGGGAGCAACCAGACTATTGTCAGTCACTAGGCAAAAGGAAAAAGGAGACGAGAGGGGGAAAAAATATCGCGAGACTTGGCTTCATTGTCAATAGACCGCCTCCTTCCGGCCGCAAGTCACGCCTCTTCCGGTGTGGGCTCTCTATGCTCCGGAAGAGATGTAGAGAGACCCCAGTGCAGCCTCTCTGGGCGCTCTGGGCGGCCAAGTCGCCTGTCTATGGTTTCAGTAAATGCGTCTACTGCGGCATCTAGCGGCCGAAGGTGGCAGAGCAGGCTGATGAATTTCGGTCCTCCAATCCCAAACAGGGTGTATGTGTTTTTTTCTTCCTCAGCACAAGGATCTTTGGGCGTGCAATTTCTCCTAGATCTAATTAGAATTTAGACACATCTCAAGGGAATATTTCAAACTTTGTTTTGGCAGTACTGGGGTTTTGAACTCAGGGCCTCTCGCTTGCTAGGCAGGTATCCTACCACTTGAGCCATATCCCCACCCTTTTTTGCTTTTAGTTATTTTTCAGATACCGTCTAAGGCTTTTGGCCTCTCATGGTGATTCGCCTAGCTATACCTCCTGTTGTAGCTGGGATTATAGGAGTGGATCACCACACCTGGATTCAAATATTTTTTAAGGTGCTTCATATCATAATCCTCAGGCAAGATAGATCAGGGGAAGTAAGTCATGAGAAACAGCAGCCTGGAATTCACACGTATAAGCATTGCATTGACAAATAGCTTGATTAAAAGTATGCAGGTACTGCTTTCCTTGCTTTAAATCCCTGCTTGTCCAAATAATTAGTACACCCTGAGAACGGAGCAAGGATATCTTAAAGACACTTATCCTGTGGGGTGGGGAGACACTTGGGAAAATGACTCCTCTGGGCACAAAAAGTGTGCCAAAAAGAAAAACACTTATAGCCAGGATGGACACCGGTCTTCAAGGGAGCATCTGGCAGAACTCATCTTTTGTTTAAAAGGATGCTCAGACATCTATGTCATGCTTGTTACCAGAATCAGGGAGGAGGCCTCCAAAAGGGAGGAGTCCTCCACCTGACCCTTGAGTTCTTGATGTTGTTGCAAAAAAAATTTAGGACACATCAAGGTAGAGAACAAGAAATTTATTAGTAAAGCAAAGCAAAGGAAAGACAGAAGCAGTACACAACCCAAACATGGGTACAGTACATCTGATAACAGGTGCAATATGTGTTTTGACATCAGGGGTATTTATGATGAAAAAGTGGGTGGGGGTTGGCTCAAGTTTACCTTAGGAAAAGTGCTCCTCTTTGTTCTGACACCTGGTATAATTAGTTGGTTTTGGTGTTATTCTTATCAATTGGGCCCAAAGAGTTCAAGTTTGGCCTGCACATTAAATTTGAGTCACTGTGACATAGATGTCTGAGCATCCCTTTGAACAAAGGCTGGGTCCTGCCAGATGCTCCCTTCAGGACAGGTGTCCATCCTTGTGATAAGTATCTTTCTTCGTAAACACTTTTTTGTGCCCAGAGGAATCATTTTCCCAAGAGGAGTCATTTTTTCCCTGGGATATGTGTCTTTCTTTACGATATCCTTGCTTAGTTCTCAGAGCACACTCATTACTTTTCGGCAAGTGGGCAAGATCAGATGGAGAGGACTGCCCTATTTCCCTTTTTATGAAATGTTGCAGCTAGTTGAGAGAGTGTGATGTTTAAAGCAAAGAAAACAGTGCCAATGTGCTTTTAGTCAAGCTATTTATTAACACAGTGTACAGCTCCAAATTCCTGGCTGCTGTTTTCCATGCCTCAGTTTTCCTGATCTACCCTGCCTCATAGTGACCCAAATTTATTAAGTGAACCAACCTTGAAATCTCTGGGCCCAGTTGATGACATAGTGTAACGACAATAATGACTAAATACACCAGCTCTCCTAAGGTGAATTTGTGCCAGATTCCCTAACCTACTTATTGCCGTAAACACCTGTAACGTTGCACCTGTTACCCAGATATGCCACACCCATGTCTGGGCTATGTACTATGCTTTTGTTGTTCCTTTGCTTTGCTTTACTTATAAACTTTCTTGGTTTCTACCACAATGTGTCCTAAAATTCTTTTTTACAGAATCACAAACTCGGTACTGAAGGGTCAGGCCTCAGAGATTTCCTCCCTTTTGGAGACCTCCTCCCTGGAGCATCACTGGTTCCAGTAATAGTCCTTCCCTTCCATGGTGGCCCATTGCACCAATTATTCCTCCTTTATATGAGATTCAGATTTAACAGTGTCCTGTGTAGGACTTGTTAAAGAAGACTGTGTTTCCTTAAGGCTGGGGTCCATAGCTAAAGAATTTTTAAATTGCCAGTATGTTGCATAAATTAGTACTAGAAATGTTCACTGATGAGCTGGTGGAGTGGCTCAAGTTGTAGAGTGCCTGCCTAGCAAGTACAGTACCTTCAGTACCAAGAAAGAAAAGAAGGAGAAGGAAGGGAGGGAGGGAGGGAGGGAGGGAGGGAGGAAGGAAGGAAGGAAGGAAGGAAGGAAGGAAGGAAGGAAGGAAGGAAGGAAGGAAGGAAGGAAGGAAGGAAGGAAGGAAGGAAGGAAAGAAAGAAAGAAAGAAAGGAAGAAAGAGAAAGAAGAAAGAGAAAGAAAGAAGAGAGAGAGAAAGAAAAAAAAAAAGAATGTTCACTAGGATTGGGGATGTATTTGTTGGTAGAGTGCCCACCTAGCATTTGCAAGGCTCTGGGTTCGGCCCTCAGTACCACAAAAAACAAAACTATAGATTTAATTGATTTTGGTAATCAGGAATAGAGAAACACACAAAAGAATAGTAGCAATTCAACCCTGAAGAAAACAAGGAAAATGACTTTAAAAATAAATACAGAAGCCAGTGCCTCGCACCTGTAATCCTAGCTACTTGGGAGACTGAGATCAGGAATATAGAAGTTTGAGGCCAGCCCAGGCAAATAGTTCTCAAGACTCCATTTCCAAAATAACCAGAGTGAAATGGACTGGAGGAGTGAGTGACTCAAGCAGTAGAGTTATCTGCTTTGCAAGCACAAAGCCTGAGTTTAAACCCTAATCCTACCAAAATTAATAATAATAATAATAATAAGTAGTAGTAGTATTCAGCATTTGCTGTGTAGGGGCACTTAAATTCTATAGTCTGATTTATTTTATATTATCTGACTTCACAAATTTAAAGATTAGGTAATTTAGGCTTAGCGAGTTCAAGTCACTTGTCTAGTCATTCCGCCAGTCTCTCTGAAGGCAAGAGTCAAACACAGGTTTTCAATCTGGTTCCTGTCCCTGCTTTAAACCATTATGATCCACTACCTCGGAATCCCCCTTGCAAAGCGTGCTCTTAAGGATTCATTGTTTTCTCCTGCAGAACAAACCTCATTTGGTCTTTTTTTTTTTCTTTTATTATTCACATGTGCATACAAGGCTTGGGTCATTTCTCCCCCCTGCCCCCACCCCCTCATCATTTGGTCTTTACTGAGTTTTGTTTTGTTTTTGGTGATGGAACCGGGGTTTGAAGTCAGGGCCCTGCACTTGGCAGGCAGGTACTCCTACCACTTCAACCATGCCCTTTACTGAGTTTCTGAGGTCCTTGTTGTGGAACCCGTCACAACTAGGCAATAATTCCAAACAGGATTTTTACTTTAAAGCATGTGTGGTTTTTAAGGTCCTGAATTCAACTCCCAATATTGCTCACCAAAAAATATGCAAAAAAAATGTGTGTGATTTTTGTAACAAAAGCATAAACTGAGCATGGTGATACATGTCTATAATCCCAGCATTCAGGAGGCTGAGGCAGGAGGATTAAGAGTTCAAGATCACCACTGCCCTCTCCAGCCTGAACTACATAGCAACTTCTGGGCTAGCCTGGGTGTTACCTAGCAAAAAACCCTGTCTCAAAAAATAGTTAAAATACAGCTTGACATATATCCCTCCAGAAATGCAAAGTTTTAAAACACATTCCATTGGAAATAAAATGGGCATGGGTAAGCATGACAAGTGTACAATGCAAGGTTGAAGGGTTCAGATTCTGAAGCTGAGACACTTTTTCCTTTGTACCTTGATTCCCTCATAGATCAAAGGGACATGATGGTACCTACCTCAGAAAATTCTTGTAAGGATTAAATGACATAACCTATTAAAGTAATGCCTGGCCCCTTGTAAGTGTTCAATAAACATTAAGAAATACACAAAAGATAAAGACAGGCACTGTAACTTAAACTCCAACTCTACCACTTACTGGCTGTGTGACTTTGGACAAGTGTTTAACGTAACTGATCCTCAATGTCTTTGTGTCTTTATCTGAATTGTTAGGAAGGATTAGAGATAGTATTTGTAAAGTAACACACACACACACACACACACACACACACTTCAAAAATGCTGTTATCCTTTATTACAGACATAGAGGTTTAATGAGGGGAGTGCTATAGGGTTCAGCCAAGGATATAGGATAAAATGAAGTGGAGAAGAACTGCTGAAGCAATTGTACTTTGAGAGGTCTGAGATTGGGCATAGGAGAATTCCACCCCCCCCAAAAAAAATCAGTAGATTTGCATTCTGGTTCCTTTATATAGTGGTGTTGAAACTTCTGTTATCACTTAAACTTTCATCATTTTGTTCATATGCAAAAGGGACAGAAGCAGTTAACTGCCCTGCTTCCTGTGCAAGAGCTTTTCTTGGGGGGCAGTGATTGTGTGTGTGTGTTGCTAGTGATGGAGACCAGTGCCTTGTGTAAACCAAGTAAGCACCCTGCTATTTAACTACATCTCTAGGCCCACCTGTTTCTTTTTAAGATATGGTTTATAAACCAAAATTTACCTTTTTTAAGTGTATGATTCAGTGGGGGGTTTTTTGTGTTTTTTTTTTTTTTTTTTTAGCAAATTCACCTCTATCTAATTCCAGAACATTTTAATTACTCAAAAAATAAACTTGATGCTTATTAGCAATCACTTCCCATTCTTTTCCTTCCTAGGCCCCATGAAACCCCTTTTTATTTCTGTGGATTTGCCTGTTATGGATATTTCATATAAGTGCTGGCCTTTTGTATCTGGCTTTTTCCCACCTGTTTTCAAAGCTGATCTTTGGTGTAGCATGTGTGAGTATTCGTTCTTTTTTTTTTTATTTAAGAGAGGGAGGATTTATTTCAGCTCACAGTTTCAGAGGCTTCTGTTCATGGTCATTTGCCTCTGTCACTGTGGGCTTGTGGTAAGGCATCACAGCATCATCACAGCAGAGAGTGTGATGGAGGAGAGTTTCGAACCTCATGGCAGCCAGGAAGCAGAGAAAGTCCTTAGTCCTTTTTTATGACTGAATAATATTCAATTTCATGGCTATACCACATTTTGTTTGTTCATTCTACCGTTGATGAATTGTTTGTTTGGGTTGTTTCCAGTTTTTGTCTATTATGAATAAAGCTGTTATAAACATTAGAGTACACATTTTGTGCTGGATTTCAGTTGGCTGGATGTATACTTACCAGTGGAATTTCTAAGTGGTAAAATACCTTTATATTTAACTTTTTTTGTGGGGTGGGGGTTTGAACTCAGAGCCTTGTGTTAGGTACTCTACCACTTGAGCCACCACTCCCAGCTATGTTTAACTTTTTGAGGAACTACTGAACTGTTTTTTCTAAACCGTGTGCTTGGAACTTTATTTTCCAAAGAGGCTGCACGATTTTACATTCCCACTAGCAACTTATAAAGGTTTTAATTTCTCCATATCCTTGCCAAAGTTTATCATAGCCGTCCTAGTGGGTGTGAAGTTGTAACTCACCGTGAATTGTCTTGCATTTTACTAATGACCTTAGTCAAAGATGTTAAATATTTTTATGTGCCTATCAGCCATTTGTAGATCTTCTTTGGAGAAATGTCTACTCAAGTGTGTGAGTGTGTGTGTTATGGGGGTTTGAACTCAGGGCCTCACATTTACTATGCACGCGCTCTACCACTTGAGCCACTCCACCAGCCGCCCTGTTTTGTATTGGGTATTTTTGAAATAGAGTCTCGCGAACTATCTGCACTGGTTGACTTTGAACTGCGATCCTCTGCCTCCTGAGTAGCTAGGATTACATACGTCACGCCCGCTGTACTCTAATTTTTTTTTTTTTTGTCAGTAATGAGGCTTGAACTCAGGGCCTCAGGCTTGCCAGGCAAGTGTTCCAGCACTTGAGCCATGCCCTCAGCCCAACCCTTTGTTCATTTCTACATTGGGTGGTCTTTTACTGTAGAGTTGTAAGAGTTCTTTATGTACCCTGAATACTACTCCCTTATGCACACAGGTTATGTTGTATATCACATTATGTAGGGGCTGTGGGAGTGACTTTATCAGCTGTAAGAAGTGACGCCAAACAAACGAAGGCGAGCACAATGCAGGGACAGAGGTGTGAAGTTCTGCAGCTGGGTCCAGCTCTCTGCAAGTCCTGGTTTGTAAAAGCAGCAGCATCCGAGTCCCCATTTGCCCCGCCCCTGCCCCGCCCCTCGCCCTTTGACCCGCGCCGTTTCCGGTTGGAGACGTGGCTCCGGGCCGCCATCTTGGCAAAAGGCGAAGCGGCGGCGGCTCCTGTCAGGGGGGCAGCAGGTCCAGAGCGGCCGGTGCTCCCCTTCCCTGACCCAGCCCTAGCTCCGGAGCGCGGGTGCGCCCCACCAGCGCCCTCACCATGGTAAGATCCGAGTCAGGACCCGAACTCTCGGGGGGCGGGCCTCGCTCGCCCCCTCTCCCTGCCGGCCCGGCTGGTGCTGGGGCCGCGGCGCCCTGCCCCGCGCCGAGGGTCTGGCGCCGGCTGCTTCCCGGGGGGCTCCGGGAGCAAGGGGGGGCTTCCTTTTGCCTGTTCCCGGCTCCCCGGGAGCTTCGAGGGGGACGCACCCCGGTCCCTGTCGCCGTGCCCGCCGCACCCCGCCCCCAGCTGCGGCCGGACCCGGGGTTTTGCCCGGCGAGATCCTCGTCGGGTCGTGGCATTGGCCCTGGGCGCCGAGGTCCAGCCGCTGTCCTCGCTGGGCGCCGGGGCTCCGCGGGCAAGGCCTCTCGGGAGCCTCGCGTCCTTTTTTTGTGTCTTCGGAAGGGGGAAATGGAGGCGCGGAACGGGAAGGAGTAACTTCTAACAGTCATTTGTGAGAGCCCAGCTCTCGAGCCCTTCCCTAACTAGGGCCGTGCAGTTCGCGTCTGTCCACTCGTTAGTGGATGGAGCGAGCCGTCCGAGCACGGGGACCGCTTGTCCCCGTGGAGGGACAAGGTGAGGTGGCATTTGGCAGGCAGCTGTCTCAGAGCAGGGGTGGTTGCGACCTGCGTTGTCGCTTGCCTTGCATGCTTTATCTTGGTGCTAGAGAGAGAGGAAAAGTGGACGTGGGCGGGGATGGGAGAGAACCCAGAAGTGCTGACTGCACCAAATCCTCCTCTATCGCGTGCTTCCTGGATATTCGGGAAGTGGGGGACGTTCTGTGAGGAGAGAGACAGACGGACAGACAGATAGCTCTGCCCTTCGATCTTTTGGGAGATGTTCTTTGTTGTTGTTGTTCTTTGGCAATTTGGTGTAGATCGCGACACAGTGTAATCTGGTGCCATTCATATTAAATAATAATGGAGACTCTTTAGATGAGAGCTTGGATAGTGGGGAGATTCATCCTTAGACTTTAAACCACTCAAAAAAATTTCCCCCAGCCTCAGATGTGTAAATTGCGTCAAGCTGGTTTGCCTCCTAAAACTTTTGTGTTAGACATAAAATTTCCCAAAACTCTTTTTTTTTTTTTTTTTTTTTCATTTCCACTAGGAGGCTCAGTATTTGGATTGTGATTAAAAAAAACAGAAAATCATCCACTTTCTTTTACATTCTGGAAGTATTCATAGTGCATTTTAGAATGTTATAAATTTAATAGAATTAAATCCTTATGTAAATAAAATATAGGCAATCTTTACAAAATCTTGTTAAAATGTTCTTATAATTTAGTGTTTTTAATTTATTGACGATTGAGGTATGGTAAGACTGTGTTGTAATGCATATATAAAACATAACTTGCTCATTCTTTTGACATGCGTTCAAAGCAGTTGTGTCGTATGTTTCTGAATTATTGCGACTTGGCATGATTCAGATGCCCACAGGTTTGTGTGCTCTGGAGAACAGTTTGTCTCAGTACATTCTGCTCTGTCCACTCTTAAGACATATTACTATTTCCTTGTAATGTCCTTGACCCTTACTCCATTTCCAAAGAGATCCTTGTACAGTAGAAATGTGCAAATGGAGCTATGTCAAAACTTCTACAAAAACGTTGGTTTTATCTGGGAAATTTGAAAGGGCTTTACATTGAACAGTCAGCTACCAAGTAAATTCTGTAACTAACATTTCACTGAACTTATTTTTATCATACAGCTAATCATTCATCCCCACTCCATGTTTTTAAAAAGACTTTTTTTTCTTTTTTGGTGGGACTGGGGTTTGAACACAAGGATTCACACTTGCAAAGCAGGAGTTCTACTGCTTGAGCCACACCTCCAGTTCGTTTTCTCTAGTTATTTTGGAGATGAGAGCTGCCCAGCTTCAAAAATACATTTTAAAGCAAGTTGCAGATACATAAACATCATTTTTGGAAAAGTGCATTCTCTTTGGCTTTAATTATTGAAATAAGTGCAAAATGTCCTAAACTGCAAAGTCTCATAGATATATAAATGGATAAAAACCAGAAATGAGTGGTTTATGCTGGTTTCATCATAACATGAAGTATACGCAGAGGTATCTTCTTTTTGACTGTAGTCACTGTTTTTCTTGTTGACAGCCTGGTAGCTGAGGCTGACCTCAAACTCAAGGGCCTCCTGCCTCAGCCCCCTGGGTGCTGGGATTATAGGCATGTACCACCAAACCCAGCTGAAGGACATCTTTTCTTTTCTTTCTTACAGTACTGGGGTTTGAATTCAGGGCCTTGTGCTTTTGAGGCATGTGTTCTACCATGTGAGCCACTCCTCCAGCCCTTTTGGGTTTAGGTATTTTTCAAATGGGGTCTCTCGTGTGTGTGCCCAGGCCAGCCTAGACTATAGTCCTCCTATTTATGCTTCCTGTGTATCTGGGATGATGTATGTGCCACCACACCCAGCTTTTATTGGGTAAGATGAGGTTGCAGGAACTTTTTTGTCCTTGCTGGCCTCAAGATTTGATCCTTTCAATCTCAGCCTCCCAAGTAGCTAGGATTACAGGCATAAGCAACCATGCCAGGCTCTGAAAGGTATGTTTTGATCTCTTTTCTACAAATTAATGAGAACATGTTCTTATTTTCTTAATATTTATCAAACAGCATTATAGTCAGTTCTTTTTCTTACTAAGAAGAACTTTCTTATTCTTACATTTGAATAAACCTGATATTAAGTCTCATAATAGCACCCATCTGAAAAATCTTTGCTTATTTAATGAATACTGTTCTTATTTACTAATAGACAGCGAGTAAACTTATGTGATAGTCACATTAAACATAAATGATCACATTAAGTTCGGTTCCCCAAAATCATTAGGTTTAATACTGGTTTTGTGTAGTTAGTCTGCCCATGGAGTCTAGGCACTGTGACCTCCCTCCCTGTAATCCCAGGAGGTGGAGGTTGGGAGGATCTTGCTTCCAGGCCACCCCTGGCAAAAATTAAGTGAAATCCCATCTTAACAAATAAGCTTGGCATGGTGGTGTGTGTCTGCGATTCCAGATACATGGCCATAGGTAAGAAGATTCCAGTCTGAGGCTGGGAAAAGCTTGTACAAGACTATCTGAAAAATAACTAAAGCAAAAAATAACAGTGGGGGGGGAGCAAAACTGGGGATCTGGCTCAAGATGTAAAGTGTCTGCCAAGAATGTGTAAGGTTTTTAGTTCAAACCTCAGTACCATTACCCCCCAAAAAAAGGCAAGTGATTGTCCTTATTTTCCTTTGATTTACCATCTGTTTATGGCTTCTTATAGAGAATTCTCTGCAGTAACTGATAACAATGTCTTTTTTTTTTTTAAGGTGGGATCCAGGTTTGAACCCAGGGCTTTGTGCTTGCAAAGCAGGTGCAATACTGCTTGAGCTACACCTCCAGTCCATTTTGCTCTTGTTATTTTGGAGATGGAGTTTCACCAACTATTTACCTAGGCTGGCCTTGAACCTCCATCGTACTGATCTTGGCCTCCTAAGTAACTAGGATTACAGGTGTGAGCCACCAGCGCCCAGCTCTCTCTTTTTTTTTTTTTTTTAAATTCTCTGTAAGGTTTTGTTTAGAACACAAAAATGATGGGCTTAAAATACTGAGTAAATTTCAAGTTTCAGCAGATTGTATTGTAATTGTATCTGTAAGTTTTTTGTTTTTGTTTTTGTTTTTTTGGTGGAACTGAGGTTTGAACTCTGCTTAGTGCTTGCAAGCAGGCACTCTTCCGCTTAAGCCATACCTTCAGTCCACTTTGCTCTGGTTAGTTTGCAGATGGGGTCTCTATTTACCTGGGCTGGCCTTGAGCCTTGATCCTCCTGATCTCAGGCTCCCAAGTAGCTAGGAATAATCTTAGCTCACCTATAAAGGCGTGAGTAACTGGAACCTATCTTGCATTTTCTCTGTAATTACTTCTTGTAAATAGGACAGACTAGATAAAGAGTTCTCTGATATTTGTAGAAAGTAGCTTTAATATGACAATGGATTTTTTTTTTTCTTTTTTTCAGTGCTTTTTGAACTCCAACTCTCATGCTTCCTAGGAAGGCATTCTATCACTTGAGCCATGCTTCCAGCCCATGACCATGAATTTTATGTGTGTACACACATACAATATTTTAGTGCATCACAAAGGAGAAAGTGACTATAATTCTAGTATCCTGAAGCATTTAGACATTCAAGGAAGACCTTGATACTTTTTAGAGAATTGTACATTTTTATGCTGAATTACTACCTTTTATTCTGTTGTCTGTTTGTGGCTTTCTTGTTTGTTTTTTGAAATAGTATCATACTGTGTAGCCCAAACTTGTCTCCAACTTGTGAGCCTGAGTCTCTCAAGTGCTGGGAATACAGGTGTATGCCACCATACTTAGCTACCACCACCATACTTAGCTACCACCTTTTATTTTTTTACTTTTCCTTTTTTTTTTGGTGGGACTGGCTCCCCCCACCCCCACCCCAATACTTGGGCTTGATGAACTCAGGGCCTACACCTTGAACCACTCCACCAGCCCTTTTTTGTGATGGTGTTTTTGAGGTAGGGTCTCATGAACTATTTGCCCAGGCTGGCTTTGAACCTCAGTCCTTCTGATTTCTACCTCCTGAATAGCTAGGATTACTGGCACCCAGCTTGGGACTGGGTTTTGAACTCAGGGCTTCACACTTGCAAAGCAGGAGCTTTACTGTTTGATCCACACTTCCAGTCCAATCTGCTATCATTATTTTGGAGATGGGATCTTGTGAACTATTTGCCTGGTCTGGCCTCTAACCACAAGCCTTCTGATTTCAGCCTCCCAAGTACCTAGGATTACAGGCATGAGACATCAGCCCCTGGCAAAAAAAAAAAATCAGTTTTATAGAGAATCATATTTCTTTATCATATTTCTTTTCTTTATCAAAGAAAATTGTAGTAGGAAAATTAGTTTACCTTTTAGTATATGCTGTGTTACAATAATTGGTAAACATTAATAAATATTGATATTAAGAGTTTTATTATATGAAGGCGTTTAAGAAG